TGGAGTTAAAATCCCAGAGAAGGCATGATTGCTTGTAGTTTTCATCATGAATTCTTACAGAGCTAGCTTCTTCGGTCTACTGGCTTGTGCAGTAGAAGCTATCAATTGCTTATCATTAAGATTTTGACTGAACCCCAGAGTAAACATAAGGCTGAGTGAGATTGATTATTATATTATGTCTCTATCTGTGAAAACCTTATTCCTCCCCCCATGCTTCAGCTGAAGCAGGGCTGAAGACCCAAATACTTTTTTGCAGTCTGATTTTTTTTCTGTCCAGTGGTGAAACTTTATTTCTTGACCTAAGAGGACCAGACCTGTTAACTCGAAAAAAAAACTACACTGGATTTTTTTTTTTTCCATGGGCCAGTTTTTTAAAGGGGATGAAGATTATCATTAGCTCAGTGTGGGAATCACATCAACAGCAACAGTGTGACAGGGTTGCATGGAAGCCCTAGGATTCCAGACCTGGAAAAGGCTCTGCATGCCTTCTCATGCAGACAGGTACTTCAAACAAATGCATTATGCACTTGTAGCCATGAGTTTTGTTTTGTACATTTTTCTGAAAGTTACCAAAACCTCACAATCAAGCTAAAACAAGTAACGGACAGGAAGTCTGAGTAGGGCATAGATCAGGACAGAGGCCAGGCTGTCCCTACATGGAGGATGCTAGCAACCTCTATTTGATAGAAATGGGATGATTGCTATATTTAATCACTTTTCCTTGAAAATGTGAAGGGAGTTACTTTCTGAATGCCTGGTGGGGTAACTGCAAATTGCTGTTTACCAGGCAGTTAAATGAAGCATAGATAGTGCTGAGTGTTGATGACATCATGTTGATGTCACTTACTGTAACAGGTAGAGCAGGTGCCTGAACTACAGACAGACAAAGTTGTGCTGAACGAAAGAAAGATGACAGATCAATAGGGGTTTTTTTGTTTTTTTTTTTTTTTCCTGGTAGCAAAATATAACAATATTCGGCCATGGAAAGCTTAGAAATATTAAAGATACCATGGTAAGTTAAATTATTGAGTCAGGATAGCATACATTAAGTGCTATTTGATGTTGGCACTAAATCAAGGACTGGAAAGTTTGAGTGATTCTTGAAGTATTGGCAATGTGTTTGGCTACCAGTTGAAATAAATCATTGCAACTGGGGTTTTTTTCAGTGTGTCTACCCCTTTGGAGTAGAAAAAATATAAAATGCATGGCCTAAGAAGGCTTCTGCTTTCAGTGTTGGTGACTTTCAGTAAATAGGTGTGGATTTATTTCTTTTTATAAGCACAGCCTAATGGCATATAGATAGTGTCAGATTTCCTCTTTAAGTTTGTCATGGCAGAAGCGGATGTTACAATCTTGCTTATTCTATAGCAAGGGATCTTTATTAACCTCTTATTAACAATAACAACACTGTTACCATATAGGAAATGCATCCAGCAAAATAATCTCCAGGTATGATACTAGGTGCAGATTTTATGTCCCATGGCTGTGATAAAGGTGATGTTCAGGGGGGAAAAAATGGCCTTTTGTGTTTGCTATCTGCTTTCTGCTGTATAGGTCGGAAATTGAACTTGGAAACCACAATAAAAAAAAACCCTAAAGCCTTCTTTCTATCTCTCCAAAAGCAAAAGGAAAGTAGTTTTTCACTGTTTTTAATGCTGGGCACATGATCAGTCAGCAGTCTTTGGGCAGTTTTTTCCTTCATAGCCTCATTCAGCGGTGTCTCTCAGACCTCAGCTTTCGCAAAATCTGGCTTCATCTGATGATCACTGGCAAAACAGGGTGAGCACTAAATAACCAGCTCTCAGTGACAGGAAGTGATTCATTTGTAATAAGCCCATGCCTGTAATAAACACAAAGAATGTTCTCTGCCTGCCTGCAAAGCTCTGATTTCACCATCTCTGGGCCTTCACGAGAAGGCAGCTGGAGAGGATGCTACCACCGCTGTTGGCTCTGCCTTAGCATCAGGGTCTTCTGTTCCTGTGGTAGAAAGGTAGAGACACAGAGAGGTATGACCACACTCTGCAGCTGTCATGGCGCATAGCTCAGTAAATCAAGTTGAGGTGCCACTGATTTCGGTTTTCAATAGTAAGTTGGGTGGTGAAATTCAGCATCTGGGGAGCAAGCATGCAGTGTATTTGGCTTCATCTTTTGGGAGAGGGCAGTGCTGACCTCTGGAGATGGGGCAGGATGGGAAGCCCTAGACTATAGCACCTTTGGTTGCTACCTTGTGACTCACCAGAGCTGGCCTTAAATTCTCCCAATAGCACTATTAAACCTCCAGCAGGCAGTATGGAACAAAGTAGGCTCCAACGGTGACAGCATGAAAGTGATTCTTAGTGACATGTGAAGGCACTAAAGAAAATAGCCAGGAGAGAAAGAGAACTCAGTAAGTTATACCCACCCCAAAATGAGCTGCTAATCACTGGTGCTATTGTGAGGATTACAATAAATCAGTGTCTGCCCTGGCTGCCTGCATCTCATTATGCAAACATGCAGATAGAGAATGTCAGCCTCAATAGCAATCTGTCATGTGAATGCTGCTGTGTCCGAGTGGGCTGGCACTCTCATGGTTAGCCAGCTTTGTGTTTTCTTTTCTTTTTTTTTCTTTTTTTTCTTTTTTTTCTGTGGGGGAAATCTATTTTCTTTTGGAAATGTCGATTTGCTTCATACTGTGGGTAGTAAAATTGCCCTTTTCTTCACTTATTTGTGAATTCTGTGATGATACCATTGTATTTAAGGTGTGGGGGTAAAATATCTTTAATGTATGTCATATTTAGTGACTGGGGGGTTGCTTGGGGTTTGGTTTTGGTTTTTGTTTGTGAGTTTTTTCCAAGTCCTCCCCCGTGTATGGTGTCATGCATATTACTGAAGCTAAGGCAACACCTACATGTATTTATGCAGCTGATGTATAGTGCCCATTACTCAAGCCTCAGAAAGGCTAATTAATTTAAGCCCTGCAGCACCCCTCTGAGGCAACTTTTGTTGGTCCTGATAGATGCACACATCGTAGCTGCTCTTTGTTATTTATTTTTAATACGATTTCTATCCCAGAGGGGAGGGGAAATGAATAGTTCTTATTTCATTAGGTAGTTGAAAAAATGTTAGGCTTTTGATATCATCAAAATAAAGTATGTAGCAAACTTTGGATTTTACTGTAAGCCATGCCTCGGAGGTTCTTATTTTCTTTTAAAGCCTCAGATCCTGGAGCCAGGTGAACCTGTAGTTGTCCTGTTGTCTTTAAACATCCATGTCTACCTCACATGGTTGCAAAATAAATTTTAATGTATTGTCTCAGCTTAATGTAAAATCTGGGATGCAGTGAAGCACTTGACTAAGGTTGTGAGTTTGTTTCTGTTTAGTCTTTAAATCTTTGCATGGTTAGAACTGGGAATACCTATGACAGTGTGCATGCAGTTCAGAAGAGAGTGCCACAGATTACTTACTAGTTGTTTTTCTGTTCATACTTTTAATTCAAGAGCTTCTCATACTGTATTAACTAGGTAAAACAAGAGTAACCATCTTCTTCCTCTCCCTCCATGAGCAAACCAAGTGTTTTTTAACACTGACTCATACCCTTTTTTTGTTTATGCTTGGTCTTAAACTTATTAAAAAGAATTCAGCCTATCTTCTCCAAATGCTTGATCATCCTTTGTCCTTTCTGAGCTCAGCTCAACTTCCTTTGTCAAAACTAAATTAATTTCCCTTATCATTCTCTCTTACCCTTCCCATATCCATTTTCAGTGCTAGATCCCTAGCTAACTCACATCTTAAGGATTGATGAAGACTAACGAAGTGGTTTGTTTGAGGTGGCTTTAAACCCCAGGCAACCCAGTCCTCATGCCTTACTCCTTACAAGAATATTCTTAAATCCTGGGGAACAGGTGTCCCTTACTGCCTAGGGCATAATTTCACAATCGTTTTAAGCCAGTCTGAGACCATACTGCCACCAAAGGAGGCAGTCACCCTTTCTGGTATCTCAGTATCTGTTCCTACCATCTCTTCTCAAGTAGCTGATAGAGCAGATTGCCTTTTTTTTTTTTTTTGGTAGCTGTAGATGAGGAACCAGATTTGATTGCTTCACAGCTCCATGGGCACAAATGTTCATGCCAAGAAGCCCTGGGAAGCATCCAGCCAAGAAAAGGGAAAAAGTGTAACCACTGCTTTTGGTATCAGTATAGACTCTGATTGACATAAATTATCATTTAGTGACACTACATTTAATGTAGTTCAGGGTCTCACTGAAAGAAGTGATCCTGCATCCGACCACTCGCTCCTGTGCTGTTACCTTCTGCTGTCACGCAGCTGTGGAGAACCATCCTGGTTACCTGAGCCAAATGGGGAAAGGAGGTATCTTGTTTTGTCTGTGTGGTTTTGCTAGGCCATTTTTTGGCCTAAGTTGTCATCCCACTTAACCAAACAAGTGGCCTGCTCTAAGACTGAAAACACTTTCAATCAATGCTTTTCACAGCATTTATAAATCTGCCATCCTCCTATTTACAGGCAGTGAAGGCTGTAGTGGGTTGCTGCTGCTGAGGATGAAGTGGGCATCGTTCCCATGCTTTGTGTCTCTGCTTATTTCTGCTCAGACTAGCATTCTGCCCCTACCTTGAAACCTCATAAACTCTAAGGCAAACAGTGCTTGAAACAGTACTCAATTCAGCCTGTGTCCCAGAAGAGCCAGATTGCTAAGACACATGGGTTGGGCCAAAAAGAAATTGGAGATGGCTGTGAATTTATCTGCTGTGCAAATATGGGCTTAGTGAGTTATTCCTCTTCTAGGAACAAGACTATTTTAAAGCATTTGAGCATGATCAGCTTTTTGAAGGGGCTGCAGCAGCCTATCTTTCCTAAAAACGACACTTTGTATTTATTTTCAGAGCAACTTTCGTCATAATTTTAAAGCTAAAGGTAGTTTAGATAAAAACTCTAATGATTTTGTTTGGTTGGTTTTTTGTTTGTTTAGTTGAATATGAAAACCACCTTATCTTCTGTTTTGGCAGTTAAATATTCTGGTTGACACTGGGAGCAGTAATTTTGCTGTAGCAGGCGTACCTGATCCTGATGTCACCTCCTACTTCAATACCGAGCTGTAAGTACCTGTTCTGCATGCAATGAGGGGTTAGGATGTCTCTTAGATCCTGGCTCCTCCATGTGATGCCGCAGTTTTGGGGGCTCCTGTGACATCCCGTGAGAGTGGGATGTCTGTAGCCTGAATGGGAAGATTGGCCTTGCCTGATGCAGAGTCAGGCCCCCCGTGAACAGACCCACTGATAACCACACAACTGAGCTCTGAGTGCAGAGCTGATTAGAGCTGGAGAAAAAGGAAGAAGATAACAGGGTAAAAATAGTTTGCAAAAATCATATCAATTTCAGCAAATTTCTTATCCAAATAGTCTTGGGAGGAATTGAAAGTTTAAATATACTTTCTCTTTGTTTAAAAAACCCCAAAAATTAAAACACAGTAATTGTATCTGTCAGTTGACATTTCATCCAAGACCAAGATTAGTCAAAACTGGTAACTTACAAGATACAACTTGGTGGTTTTGGTGCTTGTTATGCACTGAATTTGCTGTGTTTAGCATGAGCTGACATTAGTCACAGCCATGCACAGCTTTGTCTGAATCACTCTCCCTTCTTTCTTCCTTCCTTTCTGCCCTTCTTTAGTTTCAATTATTTCAGGTAAACTTCTGCAAAACACAGTTTCTATCTTTAGCTGAAGCATACAGATGATAAAAATACTTTTGAGAACTGAGAGGCTGGAAAGTATCACCATTCTCCTTACCTCTTTGTGTATTTTAACATAAGGTTTTGCACTTTTTTCTTTCCCAATGAGATACACTAGTAATGGAGGGAAAGTCAGTATTTCTGTGCTGCTTCCTAGAATAGCATTACTTGCTGCCACATACTCTGGTGTTAATGGAGATATTTCACATTTCACTCTGATATGACACAGCACTGGAAAGTACAGAATTTTTACTAGAAAGCAGTTTCTGCACTACTGCAGAGTTCTACATGCCAGCTATCGCCTTTCATAGGTAGTGGCTAGAGGAAACTTAATTGCAAGGCATTAAACCCACAAGCATTCATTCTCCCTTTTCTCTTAAATGCTGTTATTTTGTCTGGGAGGGCCAGGCCTCTCTCAAAAGAACTGTAAACTGTTAGAAACAGCGACAACAGCAGAGGTTATGTGTTGGGAAAGGTTGTGAAATTGCTTGAAGGTTGCAGTCTCTTATCAAGTGTTCTCAGTGTACACTGTGTTTTGAGAACTTTACTATAAAGTTAATATTGCAACCTTGAAATTTAGGCCCTGAAGAGTTAAAGGGTGCTTTGTAAAATGATTCAAACTCAAGTCATTACAGTTCAAAGCAATTGCAATAGCAATTTCTGGTTTGGTTTGGGTTGGGTTGATGAAGTACTGCAGTGTGCTCAGAATAAAGTGCAGCCATTAACATGTTTGAACCTGGCTACTCCATGCTTCTCCCATTTTAAATACTTTAAATAGATTCAAATAAATGTCATCTGGGAAGGGTCCTGCCCCCCCAGAAATCAGATGTTTCAAAAATGTTGTTTGCAGGAAACCTCTGTAGGGTAGCTAGTACAAATCCCAAATGAGGCAGATCAGGTCAGCCACAGCAGAGTACAGCCACGTCCTGTAAATATTTAAGGGTGAAGAATCTGTGATCTTTCTGGGCAGAGCACTTCAGTGTTGTGCCACGCTGTCCTTTGGAGGAAGTATTTCCTGTTACCCAATCTGAACCTCACAATGTAAGTCATGTGTTGCCCCTCGTGCTATTGTCTGGCACTGCAGAGAAAGGTTTGGCTATGTCATTTTGGTAACTGCCTTTGAAGCTGCTGTAAACTGCTAAGAGAAGAGAGTTACCAGGCAGGACATGGAGAAGGGAGTAGTGTCACTACAGCATCGTAAACTAGGAGGCCTTTTTCTTTGCCTCTGGCTAAGATACCCTCTATTCTGCTGGAGGAGTTGAATTTCTTATTTTTTTATTACAGCCAAAACGTGTCGTTTGGAATTTTTTGTCCTGAGTGTTTGTTTTAAAACACTTGTCCCGTGAATTAGAACAAGTCTTTAGGTTTGACCTCTAAAGGAGTTTCCTTTTTTTATGTCAGTGAGGTGGAAAACTATGTGCTGATTACAATCCAGACGATGGAGTAGGAAGTGGTTTTGCGGAACAGAATGTAATCTACTGACACAAGGATTATGTGATATCCCTTCTCACATTAGGAATTTTGCTCTTTGAAGGAAGTAATAAGGCCTTCTCATCAATATAGCATTTGTGTGCTTTACAAATGAGATGAGTATCCTCATACCCATTTCTAAGGTGGGAAAGCTGAGGCACAGAAGCTGAGGAAGCGACTTGTCCTGCCTTTCCACCTGAAAGTTCAGCAGCCGTGTTAGAAAAGAAACCCAGTGGTTCTGTGTCCTGGTCCACAGCTCAATCCACCATGCTGTTACAATTTACAGAAGAAGAGCTATGTGTTGCTGCTGTTGCTAGTCATGCAGTGTCTGTATTTGGAGATTCTCTTTGCTTTGTTCTCCCAGCTCTCAATTTTCTCTCTTATTTCAGGTGTTTCCTCTTCTGTTGCACAGCCAGACACTTTTCTACATGAAGAACCCTGTATTTCCCCTTCTTTTTCTGCCCCTTCCCCCCTTTTTTCATGTCACTAATTATTCAGACTTCATTTTGATTTATCAAATCTACAGCCAGTAGCACAGTGGTGTTCTGAAGGCCCTGCCTGAGCAGAGATGTACCTTCATCTAAGTGTCAGACAAATGCAGATTTACACAGACAAGTAAAACAGCATTAGATGACCACATACAGGTAGAATCATAGAATCATAAGGGTTGGAAAGGACCTTAAGATCATCTAGTTCCAACCCCCCTGCCGTGGGCAGGGACACCTCACGCTAAATCATATCACCCAAGGCCTCGTCCAACCTGGCCTTGAACACTGCCAGGGATGGAGCATTCACAACCTCCCTGGGCAACCCATTCCAGTGCCTCACCACCCTAACAGGAAAGAATTTCCTTCTTATATCCAATGTAAACTTCCCCTGTTTAAGTTTTAACCCATTACCCCTTGTCCTATCACTACAGTCTCTAATGAAGAGTCCCTCTCCAGCATCCCTATAGGCCCCCTTCAGATACTGGAAGGCTGCTAGGAGGTCTCCACCTTCTCTTCTCCAGTCTGAACAGCCCCAACTTCCTCAGCCTGGTAGTAACAGTATCTCTGGAATTTGTGCTTTCTGAAATGTGATCAGTGGGGCCTATTATTTCATGTATTTCTGGTGTCTTGGATGTTACAAACGACTGAGCCCTGAAGACCCTTGAAGGGTTAGATGTTGGGAGCATCAAAAACTGCTTAGGGTATATCCTGGCCTCTTACTACTCCCTCCCTCCCTTAGCTAATAGGAGGATCAGTTGCATGGGCCATATAGCAAATTGTGCCTCAAGATTAAGTGTCTGCTTGAATGGATGGGGGGTGTCTGCATTGCCATCAAAAGATTGTTCCCCATAACAGACAAAATCACACCACTTTCACTCTGGTGAGCTCAGATACAGGGGCCTCTGAAGACACTTAATTCGGCTGTTTCTGTCAGAGCCGCTGTTAGGTAAAGCTGGGTTGATAAAAATGCCCACACTTGATGAACCACCTGCAGTTTCTGTTGTTTTACAAACATGTAAAGGTGGTGCTATGAAATTTTTTTACACTTGCCTTTCCTTTTTTTTAAATTTACTTAAAAAAAAGTTGTCAAGTTAGAAGTCTGTCCAGATGAACCGAGAATGGTCATCCATCTCTTCAGAAAGGGAAGCTGTAGGCTGAGGAATGGGACCAAACTAAATTGTGAGGGATCTAGAACACCTGTAGCTCTTGAGCAGTGTTGTAGGTGGAAGAAGATTACTATATTTATACTACAGTATTTTTAAATGACATATCTATTGAGGTTTTTTCCTAATGTTTTTGTTAAGCCTTCCCAACAGGATTCTTTTCCTTTCTTTGCTTCCCATACTTAACTGCTCCTTTGCCCTGGTCTGGAAGGAACTCTTCCTTTCCTGCTCCAAGTCAGTAAATTATTTGTTAATAATATCCAAGTCTACATACTTCCTGATAGATAGGCCAAACTGCAGATATAGAAAACCTGTGTCTTACTGCTGATACTCACAATAATATTCCAATTTATCCAAAATTGATTTTTTAATAATATTAATGAGGTATTAGTCTACAGCTGTTCAGTTAGCTTGGCATTTCAATTTTAGATTTGAATTCAGAAACTTTTAATTTCCTAGCACCACTTAATACATTCCGTCTCCAATTAAAGAGTATTGTTCCTCTTATGATGGACCAGTCTGAGTCAGGGACATATTGCATAGGGTAGCATAATAATACCATGTTGGATTAGGTAGCATAATACCTTAGATTTAAAAAAAAAAAAAAATAAAGAAACGAGAAAGACACACATTGTGAAGATTTGAGTCATCGATAGCTTCAGAATGAGGGCTTCAAGATTTTTTCTTTCTCCTTTTTACTGCTTGTACAATGCGTACCCCTTCTTCTGTGGGTATATGTGATTGACTTTGCAGGCTTAATTTTTTTTCTCCTCTCTGGGAAAAACTGAGATTGAATATACTCTCTTGCATTGTAAATGAACAGCTTGTGCATAAGTGTGTCTTTTCCTTTTAAAGGTCAAGTACTTACAAATCTCAAGGGATTGATGTCACAGTCAAGTACAGTCAAGGAAGCTGGACTGGAGTGCTTGGTACAGATGTCATTACTATCCCAAAAGGAATCTATGGCAGCTACACCATCAACATTGCTACCATTCTTGAATCGGAGAACTTTTTCTTGCCAGGCGTTAAATGGCACGGGATTCTTGGTCTTGCCTACAATGCCTTAGCCAAGGTAAATTATCCTTTCCCCAGCTATTGTCTTTCACAATGACAATAAACAGAAATCTAGCTATTAAAATAAATTGAGCAGATGATCTGTGAACATTAGACTCCTCCCTTCCAGCCACTCTTTTGTATGGATCTTTTGTGTTTGTTCCAGAAAGAATAAATTGGGAAATGATGGTACTGCAGTCCTATGTGAGGATTATGGCTTTTGTGGTAATGAAGGCTCCGATTTCAGGTCCCGTGGAATGAACAAGTTTTTACAGAGCTTTTAGTACCAGACTATGGGAGTAATGGCTGCTGGCATGTGTTTGAAGGGTGTATATTAAGGCTCTGATGACCTCCCTCAAGACCTGTCAATGGACTGATGAACTTACTTGGCAGAGCACTTGGCAGTTCTTTCTTAGGCATTCTCCATTCACCAAGTAAAAGTTGAGATGGAAGGCATATATATGGATAATTTCAGAGCAAATATTATCTATGGTGTTTTCATGAATGTAGAACCAAGCACATCCTGTTCTCAAGGAGATTGGAAATACAGGTAGAAGTTTAAAACCTAAAATTTATAGTCTTAACATTTATTACCTTGTAATCTAAAACTGAAAATCTGATTGGAATACTATGTTGTCATAGTTTTCAACCCATGCATAGCTCTCTGAGAAATTCACTGAGATATACTAAATTAGAATAAATAATTCAATAATGTCCACCAACTATGAAATTAAAATGCTTTATTCAAGAGGTATGTAATCATGGTGTTGACTTATGCCATATTGCTGTCATACACTGTCAACATACAGACAAAGAAGAGCTGCTTCTCAAACTCAGGTTTGGATAAATAGTGCATTCAGGGCATTTATTTTTCCCTTCTTCCAAAGACTTAAGTATTGTTGGCTTCTGAGGCTGCTCTGTCCTTTTTGCAGTAAAAGCATTTGGCACCTCTCAAGCTAGCCAGGATCTCTGCCTATCATAAGATGTACCTACATGAAAGTCAAAATTATAATGAAACTGCAGTGCTCTAGTAACTGCAAAGGAAAGCATGACATGAAATGTAGGAAAGAACCTATTGGCCAGTTATCAGTTGAAGTGAGTGTGCTTGGGTATAAAGTTCTTTAAAAGAAAGAAGAGGAAGAAAGGGCCATTAAATTCAAAGTTCATTAGAATTAAACTATGCTTAAAAATTCAAAATCCACACTTTAAAATTCTGCCCTTTAACTGTGGAAATGTGTGAAGGGCAAGCTACATTTGACTGTTCTAATAACCCAAAGCCTTTTCCAAACAGAAAGCATCGGTGAGAGTTTCTGCCTGAAACTGAAACTAGTATGCGAGTTTGAAAACTGCAATTGAAAAATACTCATGTGTGTCAGAGATTTCTATGACAGTGGTCAAGAGTAAAAATGTTTTTAAAAACAACAGAAACAGAAAAATGACAGATGTTGGGGTTTTAATCACTTGTTATTTCTAGAATTTTCATCACCTGGTTGTCAGAAATTCAGTTTACTTGAGAAAAGTGGTCTTGTTTGAATGATTTGCTTATTTCTGCAAAGAAACTTTTTAATTAATAATTCTCCAATTCTTTTCCGTTTTGTTTTTCAACACCTTCAAGCCTTCAAGTTCTGTGGAGACATTCTTTGATTCTCTTGTGAGGCAGGCAAAGATCCCCAACATTTTCTCCTTGCAGATGTGTGGTGCTGGATTACCTGTTTCTGGGAGTGGTACCAACGGAGGTAGTCTTGTGGGTATCTGTCAATCTGAGAGGGAAGATGTTTCTTCGTTAATCTCTCTCCCTCTTTTCTATGACTATCCTACTTCCAAATTTAGTTTTTAAACGTGAAATACTTTAGATTTTTTTAAGGAAAAGTTAAGCATTTAAGCAAAACTCAAGTGTCAATTTTCATTCTCCATTCTTACTTACTTTTCAAGCTTGAATAAACTTCTGCATTTCAAGGTAAATCTTAACAAAGAAAAACATAAATGTTACAGTGTTTCCTCAGGGCAGATTCTGCTACCTTTCTCAAACTGAGTAGTCCCTTACTCAGCTGCTCAGTTTGTTCAGCCTTACCAAAATGCTGCAGTACTTTTTTTACATGATGTGAAAAGGGGGAGAGGAAACAAGGCTCTTTTCCATTTTTGTAGACAACATGTTAAAGCAAAAAGTCTGAAGACCAGATTTTCTACTTACTGTGATTCTGGAAAGTCTTTCCATCAGTTTTAGTAGGACTGAGAATTGGCCATTTTTTATCTGGAATAGAGATTTGAATGACTGTTCTCAAATCATGCTGAAAAAAGCATATCAGCACATGAGTTGATCACAAATAGTTATTTTGTAATGAATCCATACGCAGTAAATGTTAACAAACATGAGATAGATGAAGCCCAAGAGAGAACTGGCATACATTAGTTCAGTTCAAAGTCTGATGGTCTGGTATGCTTCCAGTCAGCTTCCGTGTACATTTTGATGGAAGCTAACAGTGACAGGAGTGATAGGATGGTCATATTCCATTTTGTCTGTGTGTAAGAAAAATGAAATGTTCTTGAACAGTATTAAGGTTTTTCTGATCTGATAAAGTGAATTTATGATGTGCAAGTTTAATATTCTGTCCCATTTTTATACATTGGCTAGATTAAACCACTGAAGATACTGTTTCAATTTCACACAATGGAACTTTCATAATAGGATCAGTGTTAGCTTGTAGATGAATGCTGGTAATTTGGCCCAATGTAGGAATTCTTTTTGAAGCACAATCTATGTAATGTCTAGATGTTTCATACTGGTTTATTATTGACAAAGAATTTGCCAGTAAAATCCTTACAAATGGTGCTAAGTTAAAATTTTGATGCCCTGTGTATCACAGTTAAATATTCTGCTTTTTTTGTGTGCTTACTCCAAATCTAAACATCCAGGATTTTAAAGCATGGGAATTCCTTCCTCCTTTCCCTCAGGTTCTGGGTGGAATTGAACCAAGTCTGTACAAGGGAGATATTTGGTACACACCGATCAAAGAGGAGTGGTATTACCAGGTTGAAATTCTCAAACTGGAGGTTGGAGGACAGAACCTTGAACTGGACTGTAGAGAGGTATTTGCAGTTACGTGTTTCTGTCTAAGAAAAACACTTAATTGATCAGTTTTGACTTTGCAAGCAGGTGTGTATTGCAGTCTCCTCTGAGAATTAAGGCTACATGGTAACTTTGAAAAGAAATGAATGAGCCATGTCAAATGAAGGGTGTACATCAAGCATGCTAAAATGGCTTCAAAGCAGACTTTAAAGCCGTTAGTGGTATTCTCAGTAAACTAAGAACTAAGTTACAGTTGTTAAGTGAACAGTCAACTGAAAATAAGGCTGCTGTGGCTTGGAAGGGCTCAGCCTCTTGGCTAGTTTCAGTTGTTAACAGAGGTGTCTTGACACTGAAGATGGTGCATTAATTCCAGGAGACAACAGACTTAAACAGCTACCGTGTATGGTTTTCTGTTACACAGCAAAATAAGCCAAAGGGTTTTAAAGCAATTCTGGTCAAATAAAGAAAAGGAAAGATTTTTGGATTGACTCCTGTAGAGGTATAAGCATGTAATTCACAGTGGCAGTGGACAGGTGTCAACCTGGGACACTTCCCAAAGGATCTCATTCTATGCCTCCTTTTTTTATTTTTGTAATCCACTTTTTATCGCTTCAGCCTTGCCAGGTATTATTCCTGAAGGACATGTTTTCTGTTTTTATTAGGAATAACGTTCTGCTATCTCTGGATCAGCCTAATGAGACTGTGTTGTTGCAATTTTTATTCCAAAGCTGTTTCTTTTTCTTTTTTTTTCTGAAGGATATGTGCGTATGTGTGTGTTTTATTTGTTTCCTACTGTTGCTCATTGCTATTCATGCTCTGATTTTAGTTCTATGATTTTCATGTCCTGTTTTCATTAAACATCTTAATTTTATCTTGTGCTTGTTCTCTTAGTTGGAAATCACTGGGACATCATAATTCTAAAGTTTTTATAATTCATATAAATTAATGATAAAAACCTTATGTGTGCATAACTATTTCCATACAAAATACAAAACTCATATTGCCATATAAAATATTTAAAATGAGTCATACTGTCTTTCAACTTAATAAGCAAAACAAGGTCTATTTAAATGCCCCTATAAAGGAAAGCAAAACCACTGGTCTCTAACATAAATGTTTATGTTTGCTTTTCTTTCTTACCTTACAAAAGAGACAATATGTTTTTGAAGAGGAGCCCTTGTACTAATGGTTTAATACATGCTGTTTCCAGAAAACAACTTGCCTAAAAATCTAGGGGTGTTACAAAAATTTCCTGTTATTGTTGCTCTTTTCTAAGCCAAGGTTTGCTTTCACATTGTTTGTATTAACACAGTATGCTAATCACCGGTACAGAAGCATCATTCCTTTCTTGATCAAAGGAGGTCTTCCTGTAAAAATTTAGAGGAAGAACAGTAAATTAGAGCTAGTATAATTAAAGTTTGGCTAGTTAGGGGCTTGCAGAGGATGCATAATTCACTGTATAGGATGATGAACTGTATGCCCTCTCTCCTGTTAGTTGTTTTCTAGGAAATGGAACATTTCTTTTAACCATCATCAGAGACTTCTTCCTTTCCTCGCCAGGGAAAAGTAGTCCCCTCGCTTCAATGCTGGGAATCTGTCCAGTATTACACTGCAGATGTGGCCTTGAGCCTTGCAGACCAGGCAGGGCTGAGAGAAGTACTGAGCTGCCAGCAGTGCAGGCTGCACAGAGTGCACTGTTAAACATTAACCAGGAAGACTAAGAAGGCAAGTTGCTGCCTGCTGCAAGTATGCTGTACACAGCACGAAAATCTAGGTGCTTAGTCCATATCCGAGCAATCGTGCTATTCCAGGCACTTTGCATGGGTTTATATTAGTGGTGACCCTCTTGGCTGGGCCTTTTACCTACTTTTTTTCCAGGGATGGGTTTCTAGGACAGTGGCAATTGCATATTTGTGGTACAAATCTGTTAAACTGGACTCCACAGTGCCTTGATACTTCTCTCCACTCTTTAGAAGCATTTCTGTTTATTCTAAATGGTTTCCTGTTTGCTTTTCTTTCAGCTCTGCTTGGCAGCCTATAGCAGCTCTTTCTAAGTTAGTTACTTTTTTGTTTGGTGGGTTTTATTTTCATCACTGTGCTAAAGCTATTCTGTATGACTTGATAACATCTAAACCAAAGTATTTTAAATTTGCTTGCTCTTTAACCTCTTCCTAAAAAGCCTATGCTGTATATTATTCTCTGTCTTATGATTATGCCATAAATACGTCACTGTTCAGTTCTATTGATCTTACTGCCTAAGCTAGCAACAAAAGTAGTTAATTCAAACAGCTGTCACTGCTACTTGCTTCCCCTCCTCCCCCAGTTAATCATAGTTTTTAAGGAGTTCATGAAAAAAAATATATACCTTTTAAAATGTTTATTCTTTGCTTGATGTATCTGAAATTGGCTGAAATATCCTCATCTGAGGGTTTGGGTTTTAGTAATGAAATGTTTGCTATGGGGTTTTAGTGCCAATTTTGAGGCAGCCAGATTGAAATTTCAAGGGGATTTTATACATGGGTTTTTTCCATGTTTTAGTGGTTTTCAGCAGTCAAGAGAGAAAGGTCTGCCACTTGTCATTTGTACTCTTGAGCCAGTACCAAGTGTGACTTGTAGTGAGGTATAATGCTCCCCAAGTATTCTTGAATTAGATGTACCAGCCATTAAAAGTAAGTCGCTGCACTGTGTTTAAAATAGAGTGAGTTGTTTCCATTATAGCAGAGACCTTGATTCAGGGCTTGGACATACTTGTAAGCTACATCAGCATACTTCGCATCTGTCTGTACTGACCATGAGAGTACTTCTGCCACAAAGCATGTGGGAAGTAAAGCAGATTAGCTCACAGCTCTGACAGGGGCTGGGGTTTACTTCTTTTTACAGTGGTTTGGCTATTTGTGTTAGCTGTGGTAACACACAGTAATTTCCCGAGTGGTGCAGATAAACTCAGTCTTGTGTCTAGGCTGACCGTATCCTGCTTTTGCTCTAAACTTCATTTGAATTCAAGCTATCAAGTAGAGAGAGCTGCCGACAGATATGACATGTGGCTTTGGGAAGACAGCTATCAAAAAGGAACAGCTTTGTCATTGTTATGAAACAGTGGAATCTGCATTACATAGCTACAGTGTGTAACTTCTTTAATTTTTTCACCCTCCCTAGTACAATGCTGATAAAGCGATAGTAGACAGTGGAACCACACTCCTCCGTCTGCCCCAGAAAGTCTTCAGTGCAGTTGTGCAAGCGATAGCTCGCACATCTCTGGTAAGCTAATGTCATTCAATCTGCTCAAAATGTTAAATTCCTGCTACATTATCACATCTTTGAAAGGAGTGTCATCTTTGCTATCTACCTGTGACAGGGTTTTAACCTGGGAGGGAGCAGAATCTTTCCTGATCTACTTCTGTTAATAAGTGAGGAGTGACTGATAGTCTTAGGAAACAGAAAAGACAAAGGAAGATGTGAAGATGGAAAGGGAGAAGGGAAAAGGGGGGTCCAAGTACAAAACAGAAATATGTGTATGGAAATGCATCAGAAATAGTGCAAAGTTGGAATATTTTGTTCTAAGCATTTCAGAAACATGAGCATAATACCTGTTGCTCTGATTCAAAGTATAAAGAGTGCAAAAATCAGTCCTTTCACTCAAAATGGAGTGTTTATAAAGTGGAAGAACCTGCTATTGCAAGCAGTTTCTTTCCAAGTAAAATGCCTATTGTTGTATAGAATGGATGCCATTCATTAGGATTATTCATATCAAGAAAACTGCTTTCGACCTTCATTATTGAATTATTTATGTTTAAAGGCGTCTTTCTTTGGAAATAGAGTGGGCTTTAGAAGTAGGGCATGGAAATGGTGGATTTCTGTGAGTGTAGAGTAACCAAAGCAGCATTTTCTTGTTAATATAAACTATTCATAACTTTTGGTTGAATACAGTGAACAGCACCAAGAAGGTTAAAGATGAAGAATAAATCCCAGATATTTCAGTGTAAACAATTTAAACATTTTTGTCACGGATTCACAATCAGACAGCTGTACTTGTTGCAAATCACAGGAAATACAGTAACTGGACTATTGGCTAGCTGTCCAAAAGACACAATATTTGCCAGTATGCTGATAATTCAAGATTTAGATCCTTTTCCTACCTGATTGAGAGCAGAGATTTGGCATGAAGTGTTCTTCACTGCCTTCAGGTGTCCAGCATCTGATATAAATGTACTAGTTACTTTATGTAGCTCAACTTCCCTAGTTGAAAGGTTTTCTGTTTGCAAAGTGCTTAGGTATTGACTGGAACAATTTCAGTCAATGAGAGGGGAATTGTAAGAAGCCTACCCAAGATCTCTTGTAACGGCATCTTGTGGTAGGGCATCCTCCTGTGAAGTGGATCACAGCGGTCCACACTCCTCTCTGGTCTTGGTCAGGACATTTGAACTAAGACTTTCCACATGACAAGTAAATAGTCAACTGATCAATAAAGTATTAGAGGGAAACCACTCACTTGTTCTGCTTGACAGTTTCTGGTCGTTCTATTAAAAATGCATAAACTAGCTCTTCTCTTTTAGGGTTTCTTTTTAATCTCAAGGACCTTGCTGCTGTACCCATTTCCCTACACACACACACAAAACCCCAGCTTTCACAGCTCTAAACAAAGGAGATGATCTATAAAATAAGAAAGCAGTTACAAGATGTAAGGATCAGATTCCAGCTGTGTACGAAGAATGTCAAGACAATGGATATTTTCAGTAACTGTACCATAGCATCACAACTGTACTTTTAGCACTTTGTGCTTCTGTCAGGCTATGTACCACTGAAACATAAAATCATCTGCTGTAGTCAGACATACTTCTCTGACCACAGGTGAACTAGGTTAACAAGTTCCTGCTCCTAGCAGCTTGTTATGAGCTTCCCTGCAAGATGTTATTGCCCCCTCAGGTGTACTGAGATAACTACATGTGAAGCGTTCCTTTATCCAACTCCATAAAAATCCAAGGCTGTGAGCTTTATGCTCTTCAGTGGTGCAGATATTTTTTTAAACCTTACTTATTTGGACTGACATATTTTAGGGAGAAGTTGTAGATGCAGAGATGCAGCTTGATATTGGCAAGTCTGAAGGGTGGTGGTTTGGTTAGGTGGGCAGAGGTGAGCCGCAGAGGGGTGGCATTTACTGCACCTCACTGAGCTGAAGTCAAAACTGCATGTCTGTTCACACAGAGTGAAACTTAGCATGTAATACAAAGTTAATAACTTGAAGAAAGGAAGTCTCAAATAAACCTAAAAACTTTATTTTAATAATCTTTTAGGTGTCATACAGCCAAATCCCTCCAATGCATTTCTTCAGCATACAGAAGTAAGGCAAAGAAATGCAATGTAATAAACAGTCTTCCTGGGAAATGAAAGTAGACACTTAACACAGAGCACTTCATGGGCTTGGACTGTCCAGTGTGGGTGCTACCGTGCAGTTTCTTCAGATCACAAGCTCTGCTTTCCAAGAGAAAATGAAAAGAGAGAAGAACTGTATTTTCAGCAGGTGTGACCTGGGATTTATCTGTGAGGGGCAGAGCATTCTGCCCTGTGCCAAGAAATGTACTTAAGCACACATTGAGAGCTAAGGGTAAACCCAGTCTGTATGTGAGGGTAAGTCTCACGGTGTGCTTCCATGAATGTACGCTTTCTGGCCCAAAACCAAGAAATAAGCACCTGGAAGTACTAAGAGCCTAATATTGTACAAATATTTCATTAGCAGGTATGTGGGGTGGGGTGAATACTTGTGACCTGTTAAAATGCCATGTAACTAATGTATGAGCTGGTGTTTACAAAATAATCAGTATGACAGTTAAATACAAATGAGGGGAGTGGAGAGGATGGATTCTATCTTTCTCCTTTCCCAAAGGGGAGGCTTTGGCTGTGCAGCATCAGAGCAAGATACTGCCTTGGATGTTCCTTCATGTGGGGATGAGAACCAGTGCAAAGTAATGCACTCAAATAAGGCAGGTTTTTCATCTGATCTGGCAGCAGATCAGCTTCAGGGAGCAGGAACATCAGGCAAGATGTTTGTCTTAGGCAAACAAGCTCTCTCAGGGTTTGCTTTTTGCTTTATTAGTGACATATTATATAATATATTAAAAACGACTGTTAATCTTATTTCAAGAGCATGTCAAGTTGTATTGGCAGTGAGTGGCAAGGCAGCAAAAGACAGAGGGATGTGTTTCTTTCTGCTGACTGTAGCAGACCTTGATTCCTCTAGATGCCAGGAGATTCTGGCTTAGCCCTTGTCTTCAAAACCCTGAAGCTGAGTAAGAAGATGTAGGTCTGTGAGGAAGTGAGATGACTCCATTACATATTCCTGGCTTTTGTATTTTGGTTTGTGTTTCTAAAAAGTGTCTGCTGCTTCAAAACATTGGCGTTTGTTCAGAGCTCTTCAGAGAAGAGGTAGATGGGTAGTAAGAGCCTCTTGATACTTTTCCTCTGTGGTACTGATTTCTCAGGGAGGTTCTACATGTCCACTGCAGAAGTGGAAGCAGTGAGACACAAATGGGGAGGGAAGGAAGAGCTAAACTTACTTTGCCTCTTCCCCCTTCTTCCAAGTCACAATGGGCTATGATACATCTTGATTTCTGTGTTGGGTTTTTGCTTTGATCCTCAAAGAAAAAGCTCCCTGTAAGACTTGTCTGCATGCTTTAATTTCTCCATGGGAATTGAAGAAGTATCAAGCAGTGGTAGATATAATTTACAAAAATCTTATCAAAATGTCTGTAATAATGTCTGTAAATATGTATGCTTTTTTTTCTTTTTTTTTTTTTAATAGATACAAGAATTCTCTTCTGGTTTCTGGACTGGTTCACAGCTTGCATGCTGGGATAAAACTGAAAGACCCTGGTCCTTATTTCCGAAACTCTCTATATATCTAAGGGATGAAAACTCCAGTAGGTCGTTTCGGATCTCTATCCAACCACAGGTCTCAACATTATTTGTTTATTCATTTATTTTTACTGTTATAAAGCACATCCTCTTAAAAAAAAAATAGGAGCTATTTTTAGCCATAATAGAGAACTGTCTTATTGCATGCAAGGGAAATCTTTTAAAATGACATTTTAAAAATCAGATTGTAAACAGGGAAGATAACATACTTGTCAAACCTAAAACAAAAAAGGAAAACAGTTTCCCGGTGAGTGTGCAGTCCATGTAGTTGGGAATGATTTTTTCAAATTGTCAGGAAAAATAGGCAAGTTCTTGTTTTGTTTCATGAGCTTTAACCATATTAAATGTGAGTACAGAATGTGTGTGTTTTGTTTTGATCTTCTCATTTTGGGAAGCAAATTGATCTGGTTTCTGTGGCATTCATGTGATGTCTTCACCATTTTCCGTAACTTGGTTTGCTTACCTTTTATTATTATTCCATCCCAGCTTTTAGAAAAAAAAAAATGCCACTTTTATTTTTCCTTCCTGGCTTCCACTCCTGGTATAGGCTGCAATACAGGCTAGTATCCTCTAACATTTCTAATACAGTCTTTTACCTCAGGGGATGGTCAGGAGCAGAGGGGAGAATGAACCTATTAATTAAGTGTATTTTTAACTTGAAATATAGTAAAACCTTATGATAAGCTTTTTCTGTATTGATCATGTAGCTTGGCAATCTTTCATCTTCCCTGAGGGCAGAAGGGGTAAAATGTGACTTGAATTTATGAATCTAGAGCCTTGAAGCTGACACTGAATGCTTTCTGAATCAATTCCATCCTGATAATCTTTTAAATAATAGAATTATTCTCTAATTTGAGTTCATGTGCCAAATTCTTTCTCAGCTATCCTTCCCTTATGGAAAATACAATAAAAAGTGGCTCTCATGAATTTGCTGTTGACCTTCACATAGTGACCGGCTGTGTTCAAATTTAAGCTTAGAATCTGAGAGCTTTACATCTTACCTGCATGTAAGCTCTGACCAGTTTTAAATCATGTACAAAAATCTGCTTGCCCCAATTCATTCTCTATTTCCAGTGGAGTTTGAGTGCTTGAATATCAAAATCAAGAAGTCTGAACTTCTAAGTACTGTGTGGTATTGCTTCTTACACTCTGTCATCTTTATTTTATTTTATTTTTTTAATAGCTTTATATTCAACCTATCCTTGGAATAGGAGAGACTTTACAGTGCTACCGATTTGGTATCTCTTCCTCCACAAATGCTCTAGTTATTGGTGCTACAGTCATGGAAGGCTTCTATGTAATATTTGATAGAGCCCAGAGGAGAGTGGGCTTTGCAGTGAGTCCATGTGCAGGTAAGAGAAATACAGTTCAGGACTTGATGGGTGAGGAAACACCTGGTCTCTCAGAGAAAACCTTGACACTTATCTGATGGGGAAAAGTGTGATTACTCGTGATGTGTGAAGGGTGTATTTTTGAGCAATGCCAAGTTATTCACATTTCAAGGGGAGAAAAAAAAAAAGAAAAAGCTGTATTGCACACAAGTCTTTTGGCATGAAGTAAATCAGCCTCAGCTCTGGGTATCTTAGCTGCATTATTCCCTCTGAGCGATCTTTCTGAGACATCTGTCTCTGTGTGCAGTTTCCCCAACAGTTACGTGAGACAAGTTCCTGTTTTTAATGCAGCTTCATTATTGTGTAGTTCCTGTTCTAATTTGCCGATAAATTAATTCTTCAACTAACTTTTGGAATGTGTAGTAAAGTACCTTACTTGCACTTTTCTTTTAGTGTAAACTGTGCCTTTTCAGCCTCTCTTTCTTTCAGTAGAAAGAGCTAAGATGAAAATGGGACTTGGATAAAGACTTGTGTTTGTGTTGGCTCTAAACAAATAGGTTTCTCAGTGTAAGTAGAAAGTCATTGATTTTTTAATTATCTGCTGAGGAAATGTGAAAAAGCTCCTTTTTTTTTTTGCTTTTTATTATTTTAAAGTGCTGTTTAGTTTGTCTTTTCATGATTTCTTTTATCTCATCAAGTGTAGTTAAAAACAGAAGTTTTGAGGTTTCCTCCCCTGTTGTTGAGGCATTGCTTTGTCACCACAGGGACATGCAAGTGGGAGAGGAGGGAAGGGACATGAACCCATACCCTAGACAGTTTCTGTCCTAGACAGAAATGGTGACGCATGGAAAACATTGTATCATCTGAGATTTTCATGAGAAAAGGACTACTGCTGACAGTGCTTCTTTAATCCCCAGTATTTATGTTAGGGCAATAAGTAGTTGAATGCTTAATGCAACCTGGTAATTGAGGGGAAAAAGAGGAGAGGGACTAGGTAGCCGAGTTGTAGCTCCAGGGCATTTTAAAAGCCTTTTTTTTTTTTTTTTTAATCTCTCCATTGTTAATGGGCTGAAAATTGTCATCTTTGAGCTTACTATGAAAGAAAGTCTGGATATTGATGTGGACCTCTATGAGGTACCATGCAGTGATGAAAGACACATTTTGAATGTGTCTGGAACTAAAGTGTAACGAGATAAATACTACAAGCCAGGTTTTCCTGCATTTCATTTTTCCTTATGCTTTCTAACTGCAATTTCAGCAAGCGTAGAGCTGCCTCTTGTCCCTGTCACACTGCAACCATTAATGGAGAGGGGAGGGGGCGTTTTGACAGAACATACTGACCAACATCTAGTCAGCAGGGGCCACAAGTCAGCTGATACTCATAAGAACACTTTGACAGCAGATCTTTGTTAAGAGAAAGAGCTGGTGAACCATAATAACACCTTAATGTTAATATTGCTACGTAAAAGTATACAGTTCGGCCATTCCAAGTAGCTCTGCCAACCTTGTGTAAAGAGGAAGAACTGAGTTTGCTGAGTAGAAATGAAATCTGAATTTGCATGAGCTTGGACGCATAATAATACCCAGCTGGTGCTAGAAGGCATTTCCTCCTTATTTCTTTGTCCACGCTTCATGCATATGTCTAACCTAGCATCATGGGAATTTAGCTTCTTGAGAAATCAGATGACACAAGCCACTGACTGAGACAAGATACACTGATCTGTCAGACTCCACTCACGGGGCAGATGACATTTTGCTGGATATGCCAGTTGATTTGAATTCATTCCAACACAGCTTGTGATTTCCGTATTTAACACTGCTTTCATCAGAAAACCACAACTGTGAGTGGCTAGCAGTCTCTGCAGTGTGAGGGATTAAGCTGCCTACCTGGCTTCCTGTGGAGTCCAGCTATGTCCTTCATAGCAACTATATTAATGTAATTTATTTGGAGCTTTTTCGTCTGTCCGTGGACATAAATTAAATTGAATGACTGGTGGCATAAATTTTCAGAAATATTGAAATACAAAAGACCATTTGGTGTGGCTTTGCAATGACCTATGCTTTCTTGTTTACAGTAGAGTGTTAACACTAAATTTAAGCCCATGTTTTTATAAGACGTTAAACAGGTATGTGATGAATATAAAAATGAGGGGAACAGGGCTAAAGGCTTTAACATCATTGAACTTTCTGTTGAGATTTGACTAGACATGAAAACTGGCTTATTCCGCAATACTTGCACTGTTTTCATTCTCCAGGATGTACCAAGAGTTAGGAGAGTTAGATAGATTCCTGCAGGAAGCTATTCTATTGTAGCAGGAAAAGAAATTTGCTTTTTCCTCAATATGGGAAGCCCTTGAAGACTTAATTCTGCTCATTACTAATTTCAGATTGTTTCAAACTGCCTGTTGATAATTTCAGGGATAACTTACTATTTACAGGATGACTAGAAAAGGCTTGGATCAGGTTCCTTCTTGAGACAATATGTTTGGATCAACTAGGTAGTATTGGTGAAGCGACATAATAGTACCTTGGCATCAAGCACAATTAGACGTCTAGTATTTTTGTAGTAAGTGAGAAGATCCTAAGAGCAGCACTTGGATGGTTTTTAGGAAAGAAGTGCACCAAGCACTCTAATCTACAGTAAACTGTGATGAGACAGAATACACCCATAACTGTGGGCACTGATCCTGGGAGAATGGATGGCATGATGAATAGCAGAGCTTCAGTCCAGAAAGGCCTTGGTAACCTGGAGGACTAGGCAGCAGAAAACTCAAGTTTCAGTGAACAGAAGTGCAAAGGTTCTGCACCTCAAGCAGAAAACCAGCATTCATGGGTACAGTCTGGGAAGGGACTGGCTGAATAGCAGCCTTGCGGAAGAACAGCTAGCTATTATAGTGGGCCCTAAACTGAATGCAAGTCAAGATTGAGTGCAAGTGAAACTACATAACAAAGGGCAACACCCACCAGTTACATTCAGGAAGGCTCAAGTTGGACATGAGGAATTTCTTCTTCACCAGGAAGGTGGCACAGCACCGAAACAGGCTGCCCAGGGGGATCAGTGCATCTCTATCCTCAGGGTATTACCAGACCTGGCTGGATAAAGCTGCAAGTGACCTGATCTATTGATGGTGACAGTCCTGCTTGCAGTAAGAGGCTGGACTAGGTGACTTTCAGGGGCCCCTTCCAAGCCACAGTTTACAATTTTATGATAAATTTGATCTTACTTCAGGTTTGCTTCCTTTCCAAACCACCCAAGATGGTGAGTGAGTGTGTTAAAATTCTACACAAATGTCATAAACCAGCATTTTCCAGAGGTGCCATTTTTGTCCTGTAATCATCGATAATGAAAATCTTATTTATTTGACATCAAGAATTTATTGTAGGTAGCTACCAGATACTCTTAAAAAATATGCCAAAATACCCTAATTCATCTAATGTGTAAATAAGCTACAGGTGTGTGACTGTTAGTGTGTTAAGGGCTTGTTTGAACAATTTAGGCAAATTTCTTCTCTTTTGATTTCCTCTCACTTTCACTGGGAGTGGAAGACAGTGAGGGAAAACTTTTGGTTTTGGAGGGAAGAAAGCAGAGGCTGTGCTGCTATCAAGTATTCTCAAAATGTAATTTAAAATGTTGGCCACTATGGCAACAGTTTTCTATTGCCTTTTTTAATAGGAGTAATTGTTGCACTCAAGCCAAATTATGAGTAATTAGGGACTGTATATTTTCAAAGCTGTCTCCAACATGGAAAATTATGCTGCTTTTTTCACTTCTTCAAAACACTAAATTCCTAGGTAGTAGTACTTATACCTTGCATTTCACATTAGTATTATATGTTGTTTAGCTTGGATTTGCTGTCTTCATAAAGACAGATTAAATGGTGCAAGGGGGTGAGATGTCCAGAAAAAACAATTACATGGTAGACAAATTGCAGTAGTGGGACTCTGAATAAAACTGATTTCTGCCACAGACCTCCTAGGTAGTCTTTTACAAGTCTGTCCACTTCTGTGCAGCTCCCTTACAGTATCTGTGTAACAGCCATGTCTTGGCAAAGATATGCTGACAATATAAGGTACATGGGCCAGTTTATTGCCATCTGATGAGCTGAGATACTATATGTTTGATATTCACCAGTGTTATTACGGTGGTTGTGCATGCAGCCTCAGCTTTCACCTTCTCCACTCCAGCAGCTTATTGCTGCTAAAGGAGTCTTCCCACGCTTGCAGCTGGAGAAGGGGTTGGTTCAGTTGTGTGATTCTACAGAAAATTCCTTGTTTGGGCATTTTGTTTGCTATGAAATGTTGGTCTTCTGTATAGTCAGTGAGTTGCCCTGACTGTCCTTGCAGCCAAACAGTTACTAGCACCAGCACAAAAGAGGCACTGAGGGCAAAAACTGAGGGCAAGCAGGACTGCCTCTTTCAGCAGCAGCATGCAATTAACTTGAATTAAGTCTCTTAATTTTAATAAGACTCAAGGCTTGAAGTAATATGAGGTGTTAGGAGGCCAGAGACTGAATGCCAGCTAAAATCTCTCCCAGTAAACTGCAGGTAGAGCAGCCCACCTATTCTGCATTTGGTTTTCCACAAAAGATCTTAAAGACCACCTTCCTGCTTTTCCAAAACACAGATTTCCCTCTTCCTTCCAATGGGTATTTTAGACTAAACTCTTTAAACATGCTTTCAGGAGTCACGTCTAAGATATGTGTAAATAAGAAACACTGTTTTCAGCAGGCAGGATCGCTTAGAATTTGGCAAGAATTTGTCTGTGTATAAAACAAACAAGAAATGAAGCAGGAAGGTTAAAACTGAGGCCTTTATAAGAAATACGCAAATGTGTCTTGAAGTACCTGACCAGAGAAGTGAATTACAAGTGTTTGGAAGGTTGGTTAAAATACACAGATAGTACTAACTGCAGACTCCTAGTTGCCCCAGGCACGCCAAAAGGTATCCATCCTTCCCTGGCCACACACTTGCAGATATGAAATGCTCTAAATTTTTGTTGCCCTAGGCAACTCAGTTGCTGTGCCTTTACAATACGGGTAGCCCTGTCCACAACTCGGGTGAACTTTGCTGCTCTTGCCACGGTTACTGTGACAACCATGAGCGGCATAACTCTTTTTAGCAGATACTGGTGTAACAAGTAGGGGATTGTGATGGCAAGGAAACAAGTCACACAGTCTCTGATGTTACTGAGATGGATGGCTGTTCAAGAATGGAGCTGCCAAGGCACCCCTTCGTGCTTTTTGCCTTACCTTTGTCATCTCCATTTTTTGAGCTGCTTTGTTAGCTTCTCCCTCTCTGGTGAACAGCGCTGCTCCTTCATGTCCCAGCTCCTCAGTCCTGACACTGACCTTTTTCTCCAGTGTTCCCCTTTTCTGGACCGCCTTCACCCAGCTCTTCTGCCTCACCTTCTCTTCCTTCTGAATTTTCACCTCCACTCACAAGAGTATCTATGCTGCTTTCCACCCTGCACCTTGTGTTTAGGATACAGCCCTTTAAGGTACCTGTGAAGCTAATGAACCTGCATACTGCTCCCTAAGACCCTGGTAGATAGCAAACCCAGAAGATGTAAGAATCATCTGAGGTACCCTTCCAGTTGTTTTGAATGCTGGAAATAAAGTTAAACTGCCCAGGACCTGACCTACTCCAGTGTAGATGTTGTAGGATTTTTAAGCTTCATTAAATTGACATTTCTGAAAGGTTAGTCCAGGGACAAAAGGTGATTCAGTGGCTTGGGCTTTAACTTCATCTGCAAGAGATCTGATTTAACTGTCCTCTCATTGACAGTCTGGGTAGATGTGGGAGTGTCATGGTCTCCTTATGCTTCAGATTCCCATTTTATAAACATGGGCTACTATCATTTTTATTGCAATGAGAAATATAAGAAAACATGAGATGTATGATAATGGAAAGAGAGAGATACGTAGGTATTTAGGCTAGATCTCTTGTTATTTGCTTTTAAATGGTGTCTGTAGACTTCATGTTTTCCTTTTTGTAATTTCTCAGAAGTTGATGGCTCGCCAGTATCTGAGATTGAAGGCCCTTTCACAACAGCAGATGTTGCAAGCAACTGTGTTTCAAGCGTTTCTTTCCATGAACCAGTGTTGTGGATTGCTTCCTATGCTCTGATGAGCCTGTGTGGAATTATCCTCCTTATATTGATCATCCTGCTGCTTATTCCACCACGGTGCCAGCATCGCTACACTGACAATGACGTGGTCAATGACGAATCCTCCTTAGTGCGTCATCGATGGAAATGAGAACTTGAGCGTCAAATCTGGGACTTAAACAGAATGAAAAACAAAGTACTTTGCCAAGGGGAAGAAGCCAATGCCTCAGTCCTTTCTACGTTCATTGCAAATTGCTGTTGAAATCCAGCCAAATATCCTGCATTATAACTTTTTAAACTTATTTTCTAACACTGATTCTGAACCAAAGCACTGTTAACCACCGCTTAAGTGCTACAGTACTGGATTTGCTACTGCAGTAAAATGAGCCTTAGTGCTCGCAATAGTACCTTCTTCTTTTTTTTTTTTTTAAAAAAAAAAAAGGAGAGAGAAAAACCCCACACCGCGCTCTTCTTCCACTGTCCATCCCTCTCACAAAAAAAAGAGCTGTCAGTATTTTCTAACTAATCAAGCCCTGACTGTAGAAAAAGAGAAAAAAATAATCTTTCTTATTAATTGCATTAAATGAATACTGCTTTATGTTTACATCAGTTCATTTTGAAACTGTGCTTATGGTGCGGGAGAGGGAGAAAGGCCAGACTTAAGCAGCAGAGGAAAGCAAATGAGGTCAGGAAGAAATGTTGGTCTGTGGGTTTTTTTCCTCAAGATCACTGCTGCCACTTGAGAGGGCAGCCCTTCCTGAGTGTCATTACAAAATAGTTTGAGGAGGTGAAAACTGGGGAACAAACCTGTTCAGCCTTAGTGTAAAACAAGACTACCTCTCTTAATCCACAAGGATGATACCACTGGTAAGCCTGTGGCTTAGAACTGGTCTTGAAGCACAAGATGCTCATACAACCAAATACAACTCCTTGGCTTTGAAGTAGTGGATTTTATAAAAATTAACACTTCATGACTTTCCACTTTGGTGCACAAAAGAAAAGCCTCTCAGTTTTCCCCCTGATGTGGGGTTTTGTGGGGTTGGTTGGGTTTTTTAGAGTTAAGGATGACTGATACTTAGAAAAGGCTGGTCTTCATATGTATTGGACAGATGATAAAGTTAAGGTCTGTGTTCTGCCATGTCTTTTGATGTATCTGAAAACAAACATCGTAAAACTGAAAACAATAGTGGGAGAGAGCAGGAAAGAATGTATTTGACCAGACCTCCACTGTACAAGCACAAGTCTTAATGCCAAGGTCAGAACATGGTATTTTCTTTGCAAATAGGACAATTTTTCCTGTATCAAGTCAGTGAGCATTGCAGGACCTCCATCTCTTTCTTATAGCACTGGAATAGTCAGGTTGAAAGATAAACAATACAAGGTTGAGGAGTCCTGTGATAACTATTAGTTATCTGGTTTGGAGGCATGGGAAGGGAATAAAAAAAAAAAAAAATGGGAAAAAAATTCCTTTGCATTTTGATAGCAGAGCAGTTTTCATATTTGTGTGGGAAACAAGGAGAAAAAAAAAAGGAAGCTTGGCTCTGAATCTGCCAATCCCTTGCCTGGAAAATTTTCTGCCTATAGTCCCTTCAGTATGGCTTTCTGATTCACACTGCCTCTGCATCTGACTGCATGGAATAAGCAAAGACTTCTTCTTTTCAGAAATGGTGCTTTTACAGAGGTGAACATTATGTGTGTGAAAATAAAGCACTCTTGGTTTTTATTAACTAACTCATGTATTTCACTTCATAACTGGAAGTGCCTGTGGTTTTCTTTCCTTTTTAATTCTTGTACTTTAAAATTGCTTGGCTGAATACAGTAAAATGATAGGTGTCGTGATCCAATGTCTGAAAATTATTTCTTTTGGAATTAGGAGGAACTTTTGAGTTTGCCTCCCTCCTTTGCCTCTTATTTTGTAAAAGGAGAAAAATGATGAATTATAGGAAATGTAAGAAACTGTAGAACTTAGGTGTTTCTCTGTATTCTATTTTCCATGTTTCTTTTTTAATGTCTTATAATTAGACTTTTTAGTGCACATTATAACAAAAAAGAAGTCCCCTTGAGTTTTTCTTAAAGCAGTATACTTTGCTCTGAAAAGATAAAGAGTGGTGTTTCCAATTCTGTGGTTTGGTTCCGTATCCTCCTCCCGTGTTTGGTTATATACATAACAAATAATTTTAACATTGTATTCCTTCTTCTACAGTATGTTAATATAAAGTAATGCTTCTGTCACCTGTTTCAAACAGAAACACAGTGTGAATGTTTCAATTGGTACAGTGGTAAAAAATGAGCCTTTTTTCAATTCAGAAAGTAGTAACGCTTGTATGCTCTTTAAACCGTTTCTTAGCTGCTTCCCTCTCCCCACTCCCTCGGATCTCCTTACCATAAAGAATACTAGGAAGGAATTTACTGGGAAAGGTTCTTGGTATACATTCTAATGGCAAGCAAGATTTCTCTGCAGTTGCTTAACAAAGTACTTTCGGTGTGCTAGATTTTATATTAAACCTTTCAGTTTTGCCCTTTCACTTTGAATGTCATTGGTCAAGACATTTTAATAAAAACACTTGAATTATAGGAGCAATAATCAAGTAGCACAAATGAAATGGTGATATATTCTTGAATTTCAAGGCATCCCTTGTCACTAAAATTTGGCTTTTAGTAAAAATGCTGTTAGTGACATCTGCTAGCAGCACAAACTTCATCTCAGCTTGTAAATTGATACTTACACTGGCAGATATTTAGGTGAGTATTGCTTTGTTGCTCTGGCAACAAGAAAAGCAATAGAAACCCTTGAGGGTTCATTTTTAGCCTACAGCACATTAAGAAAAATAATGCTCTCAGGCATTTCTCTATGAAAGATGAAATACAGTAACAGATTACAGTGTTACCTGTGTATCTTACTGGTGATCTCTTTACCCGATATATTTTTATTTAAAGGAGAGTGCTGGCAGGTATTTTGTGTTCCTCTTAACTAACTTCAGAGAGAAGATTAGACCATACCTAAAATACATATATATATATAAATCAGAGCATTAAGTAAAGATGGTGCTGGAAAATATTCTCTGTTTATTATGAAAGACAGAATGCTCCAAATTGCAGCACTCTATTCCTTATATATGTATCAATATTTCTTGCAGAACCAGCATTCTCCTAATGTGAATGTAATATCATGTACCATAAAAATGTCAGGGACTGTTTCTTAGGATGCAGCCTTTAGATAACTGATGTTATCAGTGCAATCGTTAGGGGTTTGAAGATGCGTGATTTGAGTTCAAGTAGTCAAACCTGAGTTCAGGAATGCAAATATGTTAGTTCTATCCCACTGCCTTCACGAGGTTTAGAAAGATTACAATAGGCTTTTTGGCTCAATTTAAATGCTGAAGAAAATAGAAGAAAAAAAATTAAAAGCCTTTTTGTTTTCAGTCTCTGTAAAAGAAGTTAGGTAAAGGAGATTGTTCTGTTTTTAAGGTGAAAGAGCTGGAATTGGGATTTGCATGCTGAATCAATCTAAATGGAATATATCAAGGCAGCATACCATTCCAGTTCTCTGCTTAGATGCTGTGCAAGTTAACTAGTAATAATCACAGAGTCATCAGTTTTGGTATTTCTTATTAATGTAACAGTTGCTTAACAACAGTAAACTCTTTATCAACTAAAGTCAACCTATGGGTATTCTGCCCAGTTACTTGCTGTGTGTTGGCTGCCTGTGTTTGAAGGATGAGCCGTTTGTATACTAAGCTTTTCATTTAAATATGAAAAGGTTCATGAGAATTGCTTAACACAGCAAGTTTTCAGAGAGAGTGGTCCTTAGATTTTCTGATAATCCAGTATTATTGTGCTACTGAACATTTCCTTGTTTCTATAGGGGCTTCCAACAACTAGGTTAGTTGGTCATATCCTGATCTCAGACATGAGCCTCATATTTATAAGTAATGATATGAGCTGCATAATGAAGGGGCACTGGTACAATGACATAATGGAGGTGAAAATAAAGGAAATTGTGGAAAGATAAAAAAGTAAACTATCCTTCATTAAAAATACTAAGTGCATAACAGATTGATCACTTTAAGAAAGTCTGTACAATTTACCAAGACATTAGTTCCTGTCAGACTTGACTCTCTGAGAAGTTGTTCATTTCTCGCTGCTGCTGTTCTTGCTGCTGCTCAGAGAAGTGAAAACAGATTGGTAATGGGATATGAGCAATCTTCTGAGCCAGTAAGATTTTCTGGCTTCTGTGGCCTACTTAGACATTAGGTCAGGCTTGCGAGTAGTCCAGAGTCCTGGTAATGGCTTGTCAGTAACATATCTGAAATACAGTTGGTGGCTTCAGCCAACCCCTTGAGTGACACAGATCCGTACCACAAAAGCCACTGCTGTGGCTTGCACTAACTGACAGAAGGACTGTGGTTAGCTGAAGCTGGCTGGTGTTGTGAACTGTGGAGATGCTAAATAATTGAGCCTTCTTCCAAATCAAGGCTGAAGCTCCTTAGTAGTGCAGAAGCGGAGAGCAGTTGCTGACAAGCTGCTGTAAGTGTAACCTCAGTCAGTCACCTGGCTTCTTTGTGAACCTTCTTTGGTAAGGGTTCACTTGTCTGGATATTTTGAAAGCCAGTGGACTCTAAGGTACCTATTGCTGCTACTGGGAATTATCCACTCAGAGGTGAAGGAGGGGCTTGATCATCTTTAAGTAAATCATTGACCAGTTACTGAATATCCCCCTCACCAAAGTGTGTATGCCACACCCCTAGCAATAGTCTGTCAGCAACAAAACAGGTTATATTAAAATATGTTGGCATTAGTGACTATGCAGTAAGATAAGAATGTTTTGTGTTTGCTTTTCTTTTCCTTTTCACTCTATCTAGGCTTTGGCTGGATCTTTGTGGTTGAGTAGTTTTTTAAATAGTGGGCATTTTAGATTAGACTACAAAGGCACATGCAGAATTTCTTTTAAGCTAGACAGAAAGTAGAACCCAGATGGTAATTTTTAGCATTTAAAAGGAAGTAGCCCTCAATATGTGTTATCTCCATTGTTTTGTAATTTATGATAAGCACTTAAAATTAATGTATTTTAGTATGGCTCCTGTCCTTCTAATTTACTGGCCATAAATCTTCAGATTTTTCTGTCTTATACTCCCCTCGTTCCTTCCCCCCCCCAAAAAAAAGGGTTCCTAAAAGAAGTTCCTGAAAGGTCCTGAAGACCTCTGTAGCCAAAATTTAGCCTTCTAACAAAAGAGATGTTTTCCTTTGTGACCATTCACAGACCTGTTTTAAAGTAGCTTGTAAGGCTTTAGAAAGTAACTCTAGGTTTAAAATACTTGCAGTAGTATTAGGAGGAGAATTGGAGCCAAAGCTTCATCTGTGTCAGTGATCCCTGAATTTGTCTGTGTGCAAAGGACTCCTTTGTGCATTTGACTACCTTTCCTAAACCTCTTTCACTTCCAACTTGGAAGTACTTAACCGCTTGTTGCTGGTCCTGTACATTCTTTGTCTCTATCCTTGTGAAATACGGTGGTAGAGAGGAGGACCGCAAGATACTGTGACAGTTAGTACCATTCCTTAAGCAGATGAACACCCCTTATTTGAAGGCCTTGCTATTTTTTTGTGCTACCACCAACTGTAGTGCACCCTTACTATCTGTTGGCTCTTCTTGCCATCTGAGACACTTAGCTTTTTGCAGTTGAGCAACTCAGCCTGCTCTGATTTTAGAGCATCGTACTTAGGCAGAATACTTGAATAAACTGCATTGTTTGTAACCACCTTCTCATCATGTCCCTCTTTGAAGAAAGACGTTTTCACAGAGCCATGGAAAACCTGCAAAGGATATGTTTATTCCTGTGGTTTTAGAGAGGAATTACATAGTTGAATGTTTAAATGGCCATATTTGCAACATAGCTGTCCTTTGGAAAATACTATGATGAAAAAAATGGACTCAAGAAAGGCATGTTGAAATGGTACTGAAGAGAAAACTTGACAATTTCTTGACAGCACCAAGGCATGAATTACTGAAAAGTGTCATGGAAAATATTGCTTCACTAACCAATATTCTGTGTATGCATAAACTATACAAGGTTGAGTGTTTAAACAAGATTTATCTGAAATGGGCAGTTCATGTTTTTTTTATTGAAAATTTTATATGGAGGTGCAGAAATCTTCTAAGTCTTTAACACTACATCAACTGTTATTTGATAGCATTTGGGAAGTGTGGAAAGGATTTCACCTTTAAGAAAATTATTTCATCTTGTAGAGGCATTTCTTCACCTGATTTTTTTTCTTTTTAATAGGCAATATTTTTTAACATTGACTGAAAGGAAAATGGGATCAAAACTTTGAAAGAAAGGTGTATAGTCTTTTTAATTCAGTCTTTGGGTGATGTTAAGATGTCTATCCCACTTACTGTCAAGCCCCATAACTGAATTTTCCAAGAATTGATACTTTGTACTTTCAGGTCTTTCCATTTTCAGATAAACACTATGTAAAAATTCAAATTTTATGCTGCATAAAATAAATTATTAATTCTTTGAACCTATTCTGTATGTCTTTTAAATCCTGTTAAGATGAACTTCAAAGCAGATAAATTATATCCATCCAAATTCTTCCTAGTACTTTATGATTTTCAATTCTAACTTCCGGTTTTAGCTCTGAAAAGAATTCAGAACTGCCTTAGATCTCATCTGAACCTTGAAGGGAAGGGAGAAGGCAGGCAACTTTAGCTCCAAGGTGATTTTTCCTGCTTATGCTCAAATAATTGGTATGTTCTTGCTTCAACTTTTCATCAATTCTTTTCAGTATCGGACAGCAAGCAGGTAGAGAAAACATCAACTTGAGAAGATCAAGCTTCTGATCATCTGGAATGGATTCAAGTAGTCTTTTGGACTGTTGCTCTCTACTGACCTAAGCTATAAATCAAGAAGGTATATAAATGGGATGTCCCTGTCCTTAAGACAGTCAGCCACCCTCAGTGTGTTGGGTTCTTACCTGGGAGAGCCCGGAGAAGCATGGTTACTGTGCTCGGTGTTTTGTACCCCGGGAGGTGGCGCACATGGTTTGTTTTTCACACACGGGAGTTTTGAGCCCTTTCACAGCAGTTCTGTTGTCTTGCTTGAATTCTATTAAAAGTACTTTCAATTTCTTTTTCTTTTTTGAAATATCCTACCTAAAAAGATTGTTATCCTGGGGTCTTCTAATCCTTTATTAATATCCCTCTTCCCTCCTCCTAAAAGCCTCTTTTAGAAATTCCATCCTTTTGAAATCCTGAGCTTTTGTCTTTAAAGGTGTGTAACTCATGCTAATAAACTTAGGGAATTGATTAAGCAAGACAGATTAACGCCAACTGTTTAATAACGTGTTTTTCTTTCAAAGCTGCCTGGTTTTCCTTATTACTGTCCCAATATTCAGCAAAGACCACCTATTACTATAACAGGGGTACTGTACAAGTATTCAGTATTTTCCTTATGCTCCTCTTATGCTTTTGAAATTGCCATCATCTTCAGAGCACCTCAGTCCTTCAGGCTTATTGAATCCAAAACTGTAAAACTGTCTTTTCATTCACACTTGTCTTGCTCATCTTTCCCCATTAAAACTGGTCCATCTAGATAAAATACCTTGTAAGTTTATGTATGAAGCATGAAAGAATTTATTGTAAGAATATGGCTTTTTTGATGCAACAGTGAAGTGAACACAAGTAACATGAAGGTTTACAATTCAAGTGCTCAATGTAATTTTTCAGGACAACTTGCAATTCTGATGCCCACTTAAACTGCAAACATTAACTATTCCTCCATTTCTGCACCAAAATGAACTCTTGTAAAAATAAATAGCTTGGAGTGTTTTTTTTTTCCTTCTAGAGGCTTACATCATACCTTGACTCATAATTTGTTTTTCTAGGAAACTAAATAGCATTTCCCAAGAAATACAGGTTATTGTAAAGACCACAAGAATCTATGCTGCCAGCATACAAATCTATGCTGCCAGCATATAAACAAACGTTAAACAAGGGATTTAGGTTAGATATCAGGAAGAAAATATTTTTTGTGAGAGTGGCGGGGAACTGGAACAGGCTGCCCATGGAAGCTGTGAATGCTCCATCCCTGGCAGTGTTCAAGGCCAGGTTGGCCAGGGCTTTGAGTGACCTGGTTTACTGGGAGTCATCCCTGGCCATGGCAGGGGGGTTGGAACTAGATGATCTTAAAGTCCCTTCCAACCAAACCATCGTATAATTCTATGATTAGCATATTGGATTTTTATAGTTGTTAGCTAGATAGAACTACTTTTTTTTGTGAATGAATAAGGTATTGTGATTCTTCAGCTTTTTTTCTTTCATGCACCCAGCACTGTTCTGAAGTACTATGCATAAGAATACTATTTACTTTTTCTTTGGCTTAAGGGTTTTTTTTAATTATAAGCCTAACATTAACTTCAGCTTTCCATATTCTTACTGTATATTTTTGTAGTTGTACATCTTGAACATCCTCTTGGCTGGTGTTTTATACTGATTTTTAACTGCTGATGCATTTTTACAGTCTTCTGGTTTACACATATATTCCCTTTCATTGACTACCTTATGCCCACTTCTTTCCCACAGTCCTGAAATATCAACCCACTGTGACTGCCCTTGTCTGTTGCCATCCTGGCCCACAGGTAAAGCAATACCCAATTTTTGTCTTTCCACTTCTCTAGAATACAGTCTGAAAGAAATCCAGCTCCCTCACTGTGTGTGTAGATTGGGCTTCAAAATTGGATTTGCTGTGTTTTTTTCTCTTTTAGAACTCCAGCATCATCCTTGGGTGACTTGGGCCCATCACAGTAGCATCAGCCTGGGTCCTTGTTGAGAAATCTTATTTTGGCAGAATGGTTCAAGGGAGAGCCCCGGGACATAGCACAGGATGTCATCAAGCTACAAGCACTTTGGGATTGCTGATAGCAGGGACCTTGCCAATGCAGCTCCCTCAGGTAAGTCCCTACTTAATTGAGTGGTCTTGCAGATTTGTTTATATCCAGACTTGTCTGTAGATCATGTGGTATTGCACAGGTTCTGTGCTAATAGAGACCTGAGGCCTTATGACTCTGCTGACAGCAGCACTTCAAGAAAACAGACAACAGAGATCCTGTAGGATTGTGCAAAGCCATATCAAGGTATCCAGCATTTAATATATGGATTTTTCTTTCCCTCTCCTCTTGCCCTTGCCTTCCTCTTCCAAAAAGTTTGGGACACTGTGAATTAAAGACAATTGGATTTGGGCCCATAATGTGTTAAGCTATTGCTGCTAATTCTGAGGAAATTTTGCTGGTCATCATCTTCTATCTGAGTGAAGTGCAATTGAATGTATTTTCCTTGCATATCTGAATGCATATTTGGATTAACAAAGCTAAGAAAAACAAACAAATATGCCCTACCTTTGTATTGTTTAATGGTCCAGCAATTAATGGTCCTGGGAACTAGACTCACTAGCTTTACAGGTTTTCTAGCTTACCAACTGAAAGTAGTCGTTGCTTGCTTTTTTGCCTTTTGTTATATGATCCACTGTTGCATATTTGGGGGGAAGATTTTAACATATCCACAGAAGAAGTATATACAAGCTGTCATAATCTTCTAAGTATTTTCTCCTGGGTATAATAGACACATTCAAGGTATACCAGAAAAAAAAATGGAAAAAAAGAAAAATTGTATTAAAATACACGTTTAAATCCCTATTTCTTCACATTACTGTTGATGCTATCACAATTCAAGATGCTGAGGTTCTACCCGAATTTTGGGCACAAGCACATGATGGAGCATGACTGTTATGGCAGCTTAACAAACTGCTCTTCCTTATTGCCACCCCTATTGTCAGTGTGTATGTGTATCTGTCCCAACTCTTAGGTAAAATTAGTTAACTTAAGCATCAGTTGCATATTTTATGTAGGTGATCTGTTTTTTCTGGTACCTCTTGAACTCCTTGTCACCTCTACAAGCAAAAATTTGGTACAATACTCTTTCTCTGCCTTACAAACTCTGCCTCCATTTTAAATCATTAAGTTCTTTTAATCTATCCTAGCAGCAGTAAAAATACATTGTTGGCCATTTGTGGATGGGCAGAAAACATGTAAGCTACAAGGGCTGTAATGCCACTTTTGCTAATTTGCTACCCAAGTGCAATAGATACAGAAAATAACTCTGGAGGTATAATGGCTCAAAGGGTAAACAAAAACTCGATCTCTTGTAATTTTACAGTGCTGGCAAATGCCAATAAATTTCTCATAATGACTGCAGCTTTGTGTTGATAAGACAAGAATAACACTTAAGCACTGTGTACATACCTTCACCTGTTCCATTTAGTGTCTGCAAGAGTTATTTGTATCCTGGGCAGATTTACTGTGCTGCTTATCACCAAAGGGTCTCACAGCCTCACAAGCATTGAGAGTGAAGATTCATGTTTTGAAAATTTTTCTCTAAGCTTCCAAATTACAGAATGAATGGTTACAGAGCAAGGACAGAAAAGATACTTCAAAAGTGTTCTGCATCCCACATCTCTAATTAATTACTAGAGAAAGAACAGTATTGCTTTTCTTTTGCAGACACAAAACTGAAATACCTGAAGTAAAACATTTCAAAGTTCCCTGGTCCTTTGGAATCTAAATTGCCCTCAGCTAGATGCCGCTGGATCCCTGGGCTTCGGCAGGCAAGCAAAGCAATTTCTGTGTTGCCTGGTTTTGTAGCAAATGCTTGAGTGTAGTTCAGTGCAGCTGTGGCAGTACTGAAAATGATGAAACCTACTACAATTTTCTTGTGGCTAAAAGCAGCTAAATTGGCAGTTATCCAACAGACACTGATTGCTAATGATGGGGTTTTCAACAGAAAGGTGTTGAGAAAGTGACAAAACTCCTAGAGGCTTAAAATTGTTATCCATGGAGGCTGTGACCCCCCAGTGCTCATACAATAAATTTATTTCAAAACTAAATTATCCTGATTCTAAATAATTTTCCTTGCTTTAATAAAAGTAACAAAATTTTTCGTCTGGCTACCACAAACTGTAGCATTTTGGGTTTAAGACACATTATTTTTACCTTAAAGGTTAGAAATGCACTCTTCAATGGTTTCAATCATTTATTAGCAGATGCACCATTTTCTGATGTGCTGTCTTGCAGGATAGCAGTTCCTGCAGAAATAATTGCATATTTGGAAAAGTAACCCAGACCAGTGTTGTCCTTAACTTTCTCTTGCCCACTCATAACTCTTTTTCCTTTTTGTCCTGTGCTTTTCATTTCTTCTGTTTATTTGTCCCATGCTTTAGCTTTAATTATTTGCACACCTAGGTTTCATTGCACGTTGCTTTTCATTTGCAAGCTCCAGTACACTGGAAAATAACCAGCAGCAATTACACCCTCAGGCTTCACCTGTAATTTATAGGATACTATAATACCCCACTTCCAGAGAAGGACAAGAAATGCCTCTCTACCAGGGACTGGAACATTTATAGCTTTCATGAGTGCCCTAGGAGGAAGGCAAAAGCCCCAGTCTGGCTGCAACCCTGTATATGCCCTCCTGCAGGATTTTATTCATCTGTTTGCTGAGCTAAACATAATTTCTGTGCCTCACTAAAGGCAGAGGGAGCAAAGAAGCTTAAGGGATACTGTAGTATCCCTTCTCATTCTAAATTCTAATTCACAGTGTAGTTTGAGCAATTTTCAAAATGAAATCACTAGCTTCCTTGTTTGTGTTTTGCCCAGCTTGAAGGTCTTCAGCTCAGTTTCCTGAACATGTTTGAGTGGCTACTTCAGTCCTTAGAAGCTGTTCTTGATGTAAGTTGTAATTTCCTTGGTTCATAGTCAGAGCTGGTACTGGTGGGGCTCAGCACCCACACAGACCTCCAAACATCTATTAATCAGAGCATGTTGGAAACTGGAAGTTTTAAAAACAGAAAAGCAAGTCCACGATGTGGGGATCTTGATGGGCAGCGCCTTTGTTTCACATTAACTGACACAGACTAGAAAATGTGCGCTGCCAGCACTGTGCTGTGCTCACACTCCTTACATCTGGCTTTGGGAGGCTGGGGAGTTGGAGTAAATCATAGAATCAGAGAATGGCTTGGACTGGAAAGGATCTTAAAGACCATCTGTTTCCCACTCCTTGCCATGGGCAAGGACAGCTTCACTAGACCAGGTAGCTCAAAGGCCCATCCAGCTTGGACTTTAACACTTCCAGGGATGGGGCAGCCACAGCTTCTCTGGGCAACTTGTTGCAGTGCCTCAGTGGGGATATTGCCCACATCTTGAGTATAAGTGGTGCCAGGTTTTTTGGTGGGTTGTGAGAAACCTGCTCAGCAATCAAAATTTCACAGATGGGAATTGTGAAGCAAAGAGCCCTTTAACAGCAGCATCCTGGGTGGATCATCCTGGGGCAGATGAGCACACCCACTCTAGCAGATATTTACAGTTTATATACCTTTCTAGGTTTTGTTTCTCAATTATGCCCGCTCTCTTCTGAGACATGATTTACACATTCCAGGAACCCAAACCCCTCCCCTCTGACAGCTCTCAGAGGGTCGCTGGTGGTCATAGGGAAGAAGGCTCCGAGTCTTCCTCATGAGTGAACTTCTGAACTTTGCTTCTGGTGCATGTGTTCAAGCCTTGCAGTTACATAAACTCCTTATCTGTATAACATATTGTATGCAAATGTGCCTATCACCGACTTGGTAATAATTATCCCAACTCCCTTGGCTGGGGCCCACATCCTGGAACCCCATGCCCTACAGATCTTCCATTCTGCCTATAGCTCGCTCATAATAAAATCTCCTACATTTTTCTTACAATACTCACACGGGTGATGGCAACTGAGAACTGACCAAGCTACCACAGGGAGAAGGAAACATCCAGACAAGGCTCCATGACACTTTGTCTGCAACACCAGCAGGGCCCACGACAAGAAAAGATGATTCAAGGGTACAGCCGGGTGAGCTGGTGCCCGTGATAGGACTTGAGTCATCCCGGCGGTGACTGGAGGAAGGAAGGGGCTACAGTGGGACTCTGCTCTGGCACAGCGATAGGTGAAACACTAGGCAAACCCCAAGCGGCCGACAAGGTGGCCTCCCCGTCAGAGGAAATGGCCCAGGACGGCGGGGCTCGGGCGGCGGTGCCGTGCTGTGCTGTGCCGCCGGCGGCGCCGGGGCGGTGCGGCGCTGACAGGTGGACGCTCCCCTTCCCGCACCGTCACCGTCCCAGTGGCTGCAGGACGAGGCGGGGGAGAGGGACGAAGACGAGGAGGAAGGGCGGGTGAATGATGTGGCTGAACCGGCAATGTGAGTAGCAGCCCCGCGGGTGCTGGGGTCTCGCCGCCGAGTGAGGAGGGCGCCGGCGTAGCCGCCCGGTACCCCCCGCCGAGGCTGCCGGTGCCTCGCTGTCTCCTTGCGCCCGCCTCAGGTGGGTGATCTGGGGCCGCTTGCCGGCTGACCGGGCCAGCCCGTGGCAGCGGGGACGGGGCAGGAAGGTTGTTCCCCACGGTGTTCCCTGAGGCCAGGGTGAGCCGAGCTCCCGGGCCGGGGAGGAGGGGCTGGTGCCGGGGCTAGGTCTCGCAGCTGAGCCTCGGGCAGCGTCTGAAAGAGGATCAGCACCCAGGGTGGCCTCCTTCCTGCTCCTCTTGCCTATCTGGCACCGTGAGTATCGCTGAGTATCTCTGCCTGAGTACTTCTCTGTGGCAGAAACAGAGAGAGGAAGGGTTGTGCCACCTCTCAGAGCGCAGGAAGCACCTCTGTGGCACGCTGTCCCCATCCTGCTCCTCCGTGTTGTGCCAAGTAGTGGGTCGAGGAGCCACAGCCTTAAAAATCAACAAAAACACTGTCTTGTTTTCGTGAATGTAGATTGGACTTTGCTTTTTATAACTCCCAACTGCTGTGGATAGCAAATCTTAAGCTCCCTTAACTATCCTATGTTTACCTGAGTTTATGGCCTAACTGCTGTTGTGTAAGGTTTTCTGCATGTCCGTGCAGGTACTCAAAAAAGTACACATTTTCAGGATATGTAACCTCAATAAAGCTGAGATCTGGCTGGACCCAGCAGATAGAGTCAGTGCAGCCCCCCAGTGCATTATGAACCTAAGAAAGGAAAAACAGAAGTTGAACTGTGTAGAAGATTCAGTAAATGTATTTCTTAAACTTTAGAAGTGATATTTGAGAAAAGTTTAAGCAGCTTGCTGTTGAAATAAAACATGGAATATAGCAACAGAAGTTAGATAGTCTGTTGCTCCGACAGGGGGATTGGACTAGATGATCTCTCAAGGTCCCTTCCAATCTCTAGCATACTGTGTATTTTCCCTTCTGCTTAGGTAAAATGCTGAATTGTTGAGCCTATTTTGCCACAGAGTTGCTCCACAATTATGATGAAAAACAGTACTAAATCACTGTAAAGATAAACCTGCTAAACAAACAACAGAAAAAACAAAATAAAACCTGGCTTGTTGGTCTCATAGATCTTTACAAAGCACCCCACCCCATGAAAATAAATAATTACTGAAATCTTTAAATAGACTTGTAGTTTCCACATAATTCTTCCTGAGTTTTGTCTTTGAAAACGGTGATATGGTCTCCTTTGCAAGTTATGTTTTGTGTATAAATCTGTTTTTACAAATACATATATGTAGTAGATATTATATATATTTTTATATGTATAAAAATATATTTTTAATATATAGAGAGAGTGTATTTATACATATATATATATATATATATATATACACTCAAAATAGAAAAGCCAAGTAAGTTTTATTCTGCTTGGTTCCAGCAGCTTCCTTCTTTGTGCACGTGAACTTTGTCAGTGTTCTTGTCCACTTTCACTGTATGAATGAAATGTTGAAGTAATTTTCAGTATTATCTTAGTGCAGGTTTGTATCACTACCAGTGGAAGAGAGAGACAGATTTCTCTAGACCGAGGAAATAATTAGAAAATGTGTTATCTCTCTGAAGATTCATTATATTACTTTCTCAATCTTAATCCTTTGATGAAAATATAGTAAGTTTCTCAGAGTATCTTTCTTAGAGTCACACAAATGCACATACTTGTGACTCCTAAATACAATGAATACAATGTCACCGAACATTTTAAGAGCTCAGATCAGTATCTTAAAAGGGTTTACTGTCCTCTTTTTAAATTTTTTTCCTGATGCAAGAAATGAGAAACTGGAATTATTTACAGAAGAACCTTCAATGTTCATAACTTCAATGTACAAACTTATTTGTGGCATGAATAACCAGAAGTAGAGCCTCCAGAATCAGGTGTGTGTTGGACTAGTGTACCCGTTCTGCAGTAAAAGAAGCAGACTAATTTGGCAGAATTCACGGAAGAGTGGTAGGACCTGCAAAACAGGACTTGAGGAGAGCAAGTGAACAATTTGGCCTTATTCTAGAGAAGGGGTAGGGCAGAAATCTTAGTAGCAGTTCCAAGAATGAAAGGAATGTAAACTGATTCAAGGAAGATTTAGGCTATATAATACGCAATATGTTCTAGCAGATGGGCAAAGTGAACATGCTGGATATTTTTGGACATTGATTCTGTTGAACTTGATTTTCAGGCCTATGAAACTAAAAATTTTCCTTTTTCCTTTTAACAGATCATTATGTTCAAGGGCATATTTCTTTACAGATCAGGAAATATGACATACAAACATCAGTTTCACAACTGCAGTGTGATATTTCCCTGTTTATAAATTAGGTAGTGCATTTCTTCTAGATCAAGAATGTATGTTAGCATTTCTGATGATGAGGAAGAGGAGATGATAGCTACTATGGAATTTATTCATGTTTTTCATAGGAAAATTGTGAATCCCATTGTTTTCCTAGTGTATAGATGCACTGCTAATACAGCCCAGGGAAGCTGTGATGTAACTGAAACAAGGTGAAACAGTCACTCTAGTCACGTTTAAATGTAGTCAGAGCTCATTGTGTGAATTATTTGGGCCTTCTTCAGTTATTTTTACCCAGCATGTCAAAAGGGTGGATGGAGGGAGTTCCTTTTATGGTTGGTGTTTTAAACCGTTCCTGTAGTGTCTGCCTGTCACAGAAAATCAATAGTAACTGCATACTACCCATAAAGTCATGTAACTGCATACTACCCATAAAGTCATGTATAGTATCTGTTACTTAAATTCCAGAGTCAAAATCCCAGGAGGATTAAATTGAACTTCATGTTTCTTTGGGGTATATAGGGTGTGGATTGAGAGGAGCCTTGTGGGGAGGACTCTGCTTGAATATCAAGTTTTATGAACAGCAGGGATTGTCAGAGATGGGAATGCAACAAATAAATTGCCTCTGAAGGTTGTGGCTAACATAGCATGTCAGAAGTAAAGTAACCAGTTTCTGAAGCAATGCCAGAGAAATACAAGAGTTTGTGTGTTGCTATGAAAACATCTTTATGTCTCTGTGGTTTTCTTACCCCCATTCCCTGGCAGGTGTTGTGAAATTAGGAAGGATTCTGGTGACTTTGTTGGCTGCTTGGTGCTTAGGATACTTATTCGCTGATCTTTTACCCCAAAAGACAATAACACCTATGGCTAATCTTCAAGACATTGGAAGAAAACCAGTGTTGAGGGGTGTGTAGTTGTATTTCTTTTTTTTTTTTTCCTTATATTATATCTGATGTTGTCTATTTACATGCTAAATGACAAATGGCTTGTTAGCTAACAAATACGTTCTATTGTAAGAATGAAGTTGGCTGTGTAAAGTACAAGTCTGAACTATTTCTAAGACACTATCTTTCAAGAAACACAATATCAGCCTATATTTGCCAGTATGCAAATACAATTAATTGAATAGTAATGTAAGAACACCTTATTTATTTGCTGGCATATAAGCACACAGCTATAGCTGCAGCTTTGGTTCTATCACATGCATTTTATAGTTATGGTAAAGTGTTGAATCACTAACCACGCTTTGTAATTAAATTCTTACTACTTTTTCTCTCAGATCTGACTGGGTGGCTTAATATGTACATTTTCCTCATTTTATGACTATGTTGCCATGTGAAAAAGCCTTAAAGTGAAATCATTATTAACTTCAAGGTAGTAAACCTTCAACCCTCTAGTCCTTCTTTCCTGTTATATGAAATATCACAAAATAATCACTCTGGATTCAGATCAAATCAAATTATATGGAACATTTTTCCCTAAATAATCTTGCTTTTGGTCCAGCAGCTGTTTGAAAGTCAATGATAACTTAAAGTCCCTGTAAATGTGAGATAATGTTGCCTTATGTTGTGATTTAACCTCAGCAAGCAACTAAGCCCCAAACAGCCACTCGCCCACTTTCCCCTGGTGGGATGGGGAAGAAAATCCAAAGGGTAGAAGTGAGAGCACTCATGGGTTGAGATAAAGACAGTTTTTAATAGGTAAAGCAAAAGCTGCACATGCAGGCAAAGCAAAACAAGGAATTCATTCACCACATCCCATGGGCAGGCAGGTGTTCAGCCATCTCCAGGGGAGCAGGGCTCCATCATACATGGGAGGTACTTGGGAAGAAAATTGCCATCACTCTGGGTGGACGCCCCTTCCTTCTTCTTCCCCCAGCTTTACATGCTGAGCATGACCCCATATGATATGGGATATCCCTTGGGTCAGCTGGGGTCAGCTGTCCCGGCTGTGTCCCCTCCCAACTCCTTGTGCATCCCCAAGCATCGCTGATGGTGTGGTGTGAGGAGCAGAAAATGCCTTGGCTCTGTGTAAGCAACTGCTCAGCAGAGACTAAAACATCCCTGTGTATTCAACACTTTCCAGCACACATTCCAAACACAGCCTGTACTAGCTACTATGAAGAATAACTCCACCCCAGAGAAAACCAGCACCCCATGATACTGGAAAACTGGCAGGACTGGGTTCTGTATATGTATGTTTGAGCTTAGCATGTTGATAATGAAGTGATTCTTTCCATAAATTAATTGTTTTTGCAGCATCCAATAAATGATTTTCTCATCTTTCTTGTTGTAGCTCCAGTCCCGAAAAGACAGAAATGTGATCACTGGTCTCCCTGCTCACCAGGGAGCTACGCCTATCGGATTCTTAGTGGTGGTGGCAAAGGAAAGCTGGCTAAAATTTGTTTTGAGGATGAGCTGTGAGTAACTGTCCAACTTTAAATCTAAGCAAGTGCTTTGTAGTGTGAAGAAGGGCATTTCATTTTGGTTCAGTAGCAGAAAGTGTTGGTTTGTTTGTTTTGGGTTTTTTGTTAAATACCTAGTATCAGGGTTTTTTTTTTGTTCCTCTACATAAGATACATTCAACTGTTAGCTTTAAGTATGATTTTTAGTTTTCATGGTGCAGGATAGCCAGTTTACAGTACATTGAATTGTCAACACCTTCTCAAAGTCAGGTTCTTTCATGGCTTTTCAAACTAGACAGGTAGAATGACTTCAAAACCTTGCAATGATCTTTTGTGATACAGTCCACATAGAATACTGCCACAAAACCACATATTATCTTGGGTTAGGGCTTTTTCTCCTTTATTTTTCTGGCTGCATTTGTATGAAGTACTTTGTTGATCTGGCCCATTTTAAAAGATTAGTTGTGCATGGCTGAAGGAAACAGAAGGAAACAGGTAAAATGTGGAAGATATTTATGCCATAGCTCTTGTTTGCTACAAAGTCTTGAATTAAATAACTGAAGAAAATATGAGCATCAGTAAATGACTTAGCACTGGTAAATATAACTTTGGGTCAGAGCTTCTGGATGGATGCATTATACTGATACTGTGTTTACTCCTATTCCAGGCTTATAAGTGAAGAGAAGGGTAATGTTGGAAGAGGTATAAACATTGCCATTGTGAATTGTAAGTAAGAGAAAAAAGTGCTAGACACAGACATACTTTTTTTATATAAACATTTTCTGTGATCTCTGCTCAGAATAAGCCCAGTTCTAGAATGCTTTTACTGCTGACAGATTTTTGCCACCTTTTCCCTTCATCCACACAATAAACCTTCCATTTAGAGTCCTATGTTCAAAAGTATCTGCTTTTATGATTTGACACTATATGGTTAAAAGATAAGCCAGAAAGGAATCAGGAACTACTGGATCTTGTTACTAGAAATGAGCTGATGCATTCTAAATGGAAAAGACCCTCTCAGTAGCAGGAATCCAACCAGGGTCTTGGATAACAAAAATCAGTTTAACACAGTTGACATGGATTTAGAAATTTGAAAAGTGTTTCCACTTGTACATGTGTTAGTTAAATAAAGATAGCCATCTAAGCAGCAGCATAATTAATGATGAATATTGACCAAAATGTTTTATTACTAATTGTTTCCATGCCCAATTTCTCATGCAGTAATGATGAATGTTCAGTTCCTGTCCACCGACATTCAAATCGTATGAAGGCCTTCACATCTGAAACACTGCACAGAATAGTGTTAAGCTCAGTCAAACAGTCTTAGGTGTAACCGTTTTTCCTATTTAGGGTTGTGATCTAGTTTAGTATATGTAGATACAAAAACATGGAAGGACACAGTAAAATGAATTTCTTCTTTAAAATAAAAAGTAATAAAAATGTCTTTGTAATTTGATGATTAAAAGACTACATGAAACAAAATATTCTCTCCAAATCTTAAATTGATATTATTCCATATTCCTTCCAATTTAAAAACCTAAGCAAAAGAAAACTCAGAGGCCCAGTAATACACAAAAGTAGAGGTGCCTAGCTTTAGCTGAAAACACTGTATATGCTGATTGATTTTAATAATTTTTGCTCCCATTTACACAACTTCTTGTTTTAATTACAGATAAAACAGGAAAAGTTACATCAACAAAATTTTTTGACATGTGGAAAGGAGGTAAGGAAAAGAGTCTAACAGAACTTTTGTTAGTGTTTCAGTGTTAAGAAATGAGTTACATGATTATCCTGCACTTTCAAATTACTATGATTTCAGTATTAATGGGGATCAGCTAGAAACAAACAGCTGTTTTCTTCATAAAATACTCTCCGGCCAGATCTGATGACAAATTTAGCCTGATAAGCTGAATTTCTCCTGTTGGTTGAGATAGGTAATTGTGGTTTGTTTTTTTTCAATTGTCGAGTTTCCGTTTTTTAAGTGTCTCCCCCTCCATGATTTCAGTCTGGTAGGAATAGCCCTTAATCTGGTACCACATCCAGATGCTTCCCTCAAAAAAATTCCTTTTCTTAATATATTTTCTTCTATTTTAGTTGTAAAATCATCCTAAGAAATATGCTAGTCTGTCTCTTACCATCCTTCCATATAGCTAGAAAGATGATCTACTTTAAGACTAGCTCCTAACACACTTTCCAAACTTTGAACAATAGCAATTTCATTACCATTAGTAAGGAAAAACAGAATGCTGTGGTGCACTGGAAGATGATTCTTTGACCACTTAAGAATGCTTTTGACCTTACATCAAAATAGAATGCACTGGGGCTAATCATGGGGCTACAATTTATATACGGTATGTAGACAGTAATGTCTCCAGGGTGCCTGTTACAGGTTTTTTTTTATATGGAAGACAAGTGTCTCATGTATGTTTAGCAATTGCAAAACAAGTAAATACCTTAGTGCTGCAAATAGGCTGCCACTTAATCAAAGTGGGTGGACACTGAAGTGTGTAATTCAGCTCCGTAGTTAGCATGCTAGTAGGAAGCTCACAGAGTAGCAGTGACTTCTCCTGGCCTATTCCATGCTTAGCTTGCATGTATAATATTGTGTGAGGTAAGCATAAGAAGCCACCCTGGACATAAATGATTTTCATAGAAATTCAGAAGTATCTGTGTTTACTGTTGGGAAATGCAGACCAGTCCATGCTCTCCTAGCCTTCAGTGAGAGCTGGCAGTTTTCTGTTCTTTTCAGGATTAGGGCTTCTGCCTGTAAACATCAAAAAAAAAAAAAAAAAAAAAAAAAAGCCCAATTAGGTCTCATTTTGAATAGATGAGGCCAAAAAGTGAAAGCAGGTTCAAAGTAAGTGGAATGTGATATGTTTGTAATGTATAATCAATTTGTAATTGATTCAACAGACCACTCAGGAGAGATGATGGCTTTCATTAAAAATGCTCCAGAAGAGTCTCTCCTTCTGATGGTGACTCATGATGATGGAAGCACCCGGTAAGCAAGTTATCCATGACAGGCTAAGGAACAGAGCAATGAATAGCTTGAAAATTATGATTGCATAATGGTATAAAGGAATGGTAAATTTCATTCTATAGTCAGGGTTGTTCTCTCATTTCCTGGCTAAAAGGTTTTTTAATCCATGTCCATTCAGTGCTTACCCGTATCATGTATGCTGATGATTCCAAAAACGGATAGATAGCATTATATTTGTTCAAAAGCACTAGTTATTCTCCTAGAGGGCACTGTTCTTACCTCTGGGTCACAGAGGTAACCTGTTAAGGTGTCCGCACCTCCAATTACAATGTATCTAGTTTGCATTCCTTCTGACATCTTAACCTGAATCTTCAAGTGCTTTTGAACCTTGAGGGTTTTTTTAGTTAAATTCATTATATGGTAACTATATAGCAGAAGACTTAATCATTCATTTGATAAACAATTGATGTCCTTGTCCTTATTTAAGAAGGCTTGAAACATCAAATAGTATTTGAGAAACATTTTTGTTTCTGCTCTGCTGTTACAAACTGGCTGTATTAACACCAGGAATGTGGAGAGGAGAAAGAGCCCTTTGCTCTGGAAGTGTAACAGCATGCTACTAAGACAGCTTTCAGGGTTTTTTAAGCTTCTCATTTTTGCTTCTGCTGAGTTACTAATGCAAAGCATGATTCAGCTGGTTTCTTGTTCAGCATTTTTCACATACTGAATTTTTAATGCTTTTCTCCACTACATTTTCCTAGGTTGAAAAATGATGCCAAAAAGTCAGTAGAAGAGCTGGGAAGTAAAGAAATATGGAATATGAAGTTCAGGTCAAGCTGGGTTTTTATAGCTTCCAAAGGCTTCAAGCTGCCAGATGACATCCAAAAAGAAAAGGTCAGGTTGTTTTTATTTTCACTTTATATTTGTCTGTATATAAGGTAAAATCTTCAGGTGCAGATTTCATGTATTAGCTATAACTGTAGTCTGTTCAGTAAGCCTCAGTCGCACAAAGCAAGTTCTCTAATGTGTCATCATTCTTTGCTTTGGATCTGGGCCATGTACAGTACTGACTTCTACCACACCGGCACTAAACCATCTGTACACAAATTTCAGAAGTGACCAGCAATTCTAGAGTTTCAGTTTTAGAATGTCCAACCTGCCATGCTGTACAGAGACTTACATTTTCTTCTGGAAGAACAAATTGCAAGGATTACTAAAATGAAGCCTATCTTTATATGAAAATTGGGCTGGCACAGACTGGCCATGCAAATACAGCAACGTTTGCATTATAAAACTTTTCTGAATAACATGCCCTCAGGCTTCAGGAGGACTAAAGATACCATTTTTACATCAGATTTCTGTTTGCATCTGTGACCTTGTTGTATTTGCTTTCTATAAGCCCAGTAGTGCTCATCTGTATGACAGAGGCTGACAGAAATGAGAAAACCCAATACAGAGGTCAATTCGCTTGATGATAGTGACTCCCTCTAAAGGCTCATGAAACTTTCATAGCTGTTTGGTTGGGTTTTTTTCCTAAAATACTGTTGCAATCTTCTCCACATACAGAGCTTCTGCAGGAAGAAGGCATTCAATTTAGTGTATATTAAGACAGCCACCTGGGAAATAAATAAAGCACTCTGTGTAAGAGAGAAACTGCGGGAATTTTCACCCACTATGTTGAGCAAGATGTGCAATGTATTACTCAGCTTCCCAGTCCTATCCGATTACCCCCTTCTGTTGTATGAGTTTGAACAAACTGGTTCATAAATGGAGTACCAAATATTGAGGTTTTTTTTTTGTTTGTTTGTTTTTGTTTTTTTTTTTTATTTTTAAATTTTTAAACAGATAAACCACTCTGACCAGAAGAAGAACAGATACAATGGGTGGCCAGCTGAAGTCCAAATAGAAGGCTGTATCCCAAGAAACCTGATCTGAACAAATGCATACCTCATTAATAAAGATGATTCTCTATTTTTGTATCTATGACTTTAGGAAATTGCCTCCAGAACCCAATAAGCATCTGAACACTAATTGTAAAATAATCATGTACAGTTTTATGCGTTTCTTTCCTCTGTGAGATTTTACTCTAATCTGAAAACAAATAGCTATTTTGATAATATGTAGAAATAAAGTACTTTGGTTTGGAGTGTTCAGAAAATCAGTCATAAAATATCAGGATTTTTAAAAGTGAGTATACATTGTCATTAGCAATTTTAGGGTTTTAATTTTGGTTGGTTGGTTTTAGTATGTGTTTTCCTTAGCTTCCCTTTAAAGACTACTATGCAAATAAAACAATCTAAATTGTAATATAAAATCACTAGCAATGAAGTTTTTATGTTTGTTAGCAGCATCACTTCTCTTCAGAAAAAATGTTCAGAAACAGCAGTTACGTTTGTTGAGCTGCTTTCAGTGATGTTGGCAACATGGAATAGCAATGTTAACGTGAAGATCAAGTTACTTATATTATTTTACCAAATTTAAGCAGCAAATCTACGTGATTTGTTTTAGTTATTTTTTTTCTTCCTGTAAGTTTAACTTACTTAAAAAAAATGTAGTGACTTCATGCAAGCTTAAGTGTTATTCATGCTAACTGTAGAATCAAACACATGACTCTAAAGAAACTGTAGAAACCATTTACTCAATTTCCCTTTTTCTGAAGCACATCAAGTATGTCTGGACCCTTCTTAACTGGTGTTTGTCCCCCTGTTATTCATAAGCCTCCCATATCGTAGATTCCAAAGCTTAAGTTGCTTCCTGTAGCATTTCACTGCTATACTAGTTATTCCCCAAGCATGCTTAATTAACCTAAAAGGACCAAGCCAATTGCATGGAGAGTAAGTCATCATCATTCTTTTTATGCCAGTTTATAATGTATCTGACTTTCCTCATCATCTCTCCTGCCTAGACTGAACCTACCTGGTATATTTAAATTTTTCTTTACATTTTTCTCAACATTAAAAGGTTTGTTTAGCAGCAACTTTCTTAATGTGCTGTGCTCCAAATGGGTCACAGCACTCTCTGCAGCTACTTATGACTGTCCTGCACTCTAAACTTCAGGCAGGAGAAAATAAGGAGCAGCGACGTGAGAGGGTGGCTGCCAACAGCCAGGTTCAGTCTGCTCTTGCTCTCTCCACTGTCTGATTGAAGCCCTCTCATTGCACTTCAAGCCTCTACCCCTGTCACTGCTGCCACCACCTACTTGCACCACCACTGCTGTGTTCCCAGCAGCTTTCTGGTATTACATTTCTCCACCAGCCCCTAAAGCTATGTTTCCCTGGTACCAGTTTGCAAACTGCTCCGTAACCCAGGGACACTGCCAAAGAAAGCAGTTAAATTAGTTTGACTCAGTTTGATGTTGGCAGACTCACAATGGTTGCTCCTTATCACCTTGCTACTGATGAGGTGGTTACAAATTGAGTGCTTAAATAGCTGTTTCAATATTTTTCCACATCTAAGTAATTCTTTTATAATAATAGTATTCAGGCAGTGTTCATGTTACTGGCAGAACATTTATTCCTTTACATTGTAATCACCCTTTGTTACATGCCTGAATTATAAAAATAACATAATTACAGTACTAATGGATGACAATCCTCAAAGCGCCAAGCTCTCAGACAGTCCTCAAACTCTGTGCAGTCTGACAGTTATTGCCTTCTACTCCAGGCCACAATTAATCTTTCAGTTGCAGTTAAATTTTACACCAGTTTCTGTTCAGCAGTTACCATGAAGCGTGCAAATACTACAAGTTCTCCATTCCCTGCAAATACTCCATTATTTACATTCACTGGCTCTGTTCTTCACACTCTGTGCAAGTATTATGTTCTTTACAGATGGACCACAGTAAAAGGTACATACCCATAATCTGAATCAAAGATCAAACCACCCAAGAATCTTTCACAGCACAAGTCCCTACAAAATGTCACTTATCATGTTTTCACTTTTTCAGAGATCATTCAAATCATCTAGGCAAGAGTGTTAACAATCTTCAGTGCTGAATGGCTGTTTTGCTCTGTTCATACCACAATGTTTAAATATGGTAGGCAGAGGAGCTTCCAGTACTTCAATAACTCTGATCTCAAGAAATCATGGAAAAGCAATCACTTGAGCAACAAAGGTGCCCCTTTTTCAGACACTTCAGATTAGAAACAATCTTACAGAGAGAGTTGGTTTGAAAGTGGGTGTTCAACTTTGCACACACAACTTAAACCCTTCTGAATGAACCTCCATCTGCAGAGGAGTGAAAAGCTTTTTCACAGAACTGTAATTCTGAAAATCTAATCATATAATCAGGGAATGGTTTGGGGTGGAAGGGACCCTGAAGATCACCTAATTCCAACCCACCTGCCATGACAGGAACATCTTCCACTAGACCAGGTTGCTCAAAGCTCCATCCAACCTGGCCAAGCACTGACAAGGATGGGGCATGCACAACTTCCTTGGACAGCCTGTTCCAGTGCCTCACCACTCTCACAGTAATGTGGGGAAAAGTTAAATAGCTTTGAATTTTAAAATAATCAATAGAACATGAAGTTAAACATTTAATTTTATTTGGAGGCAAGGCCATAGGGTGTAGGATCCCTAATACAGATGTCCTACTTCCTTACCTTCTCTGTCATGTGCTCTAGACCGCACATAAATCCCAGTGGTGGAGGTCAATGCTGTCGAAGCCAGGTGACACTGCCAACCACAAGCAATGGGCAGAAAACGATTGTTGTGTCCTCATGCACCAGAAAGGTGCTGTGGTCTCTACCATGCCTTGTGAACTACTTCTGTGTGGTTAGTGCAGAACGCAGGACCACTACTAGGAAATCAGGGTAAAACCTGCAAAGCAATTAATCTTTTTCTAACCCTAGTAGGCAAAACATGGGAAATGGGAAAACATGAGCTGTAGTATCAGTATTACTCAGGGCTTGGGTTTGCGCATTCAAAAGCAAAGTAGCACAGCAGGTGGCAGCAGTGTCTTTCCAGAGGCCCTGCATCTGTTTGGGGAAGTACCCGACCTCTGCGGTTACCTGTCCTGGAGAGACACTGGAAGCCACAGATACGAGTGTGGGTCACCCTGCCTTTTGCTTGCGGCTGGGAGGCAAGCCAGAACCTTTCCTTCTAACATGCCGGACCTTCCTGTCCTGCGCTTTGCCAGTGGCAGGCTCCTGTTTCAAATATCCCCAACCAGCACCAGCCTGCTGGTCGTTATTCCTCACATTTAGGTAGACATTTTAGATAGAAGAAAATCGAAAAAGTATCATTCATTCCAATTATTCCCTCCAGTGTGAATATGACAACCAGTCCCATAGATAACGAAGTACATGGACAGATGCCATTTTTGATCTCTCCATTCAAGAGAATGAGCAGCATCTCAGGGTCTTGACAGGTCTCTTCAAAATCCCTGGATCCTTAGCAGTTCAGTTTGATGGCAGCAGTAGGAAATACTAATCAAATAGCTGGTAATATTTTCGGTTTCTCAGTGATAACTGTTTCTTTTAGGTTCTTTTGTAATGCTGTCTACCTCAAAGTGGGAAGTTTCCACTATATTCAAAAGAAAAAATACAAGAAGGGAGAAGCTCTTCAGTGAAAAATGCCCGTTTGCATGCAGGCTGTGCTTAAAGCAAAACTCCCACCAACTGCAATCCACTCAGAAGAGCAAAGAGGAGCTGATGCTTATGCATAATGCCTGGTGGGAAATAACATATGAGTGTCATATTTCTGATCTCAGCTGCAAGTGAAATGCTGAACAATGACTAGAATTCAGGAGATTAAGATGGGTGCTTTTCATAATGTTTGAGTGACAGCAATTCCTCATTTTCTGGGTCTCTGAAGTTTTGATTTCTCCAATGTGGTTGGTTTGTTTGTTTGGTTTTGGGGTTTTTTTTGTTGGTTTGGGGGGAGGGGTGGTGTTTATTTGGGTTTGGGTTTTTTAGGGGGTGCAAGGGTTGTGGGGGGATTTTTTCTTTCTTTCCAGGGGAGATTTTCAGCAGCATAGAAAACATAAATTCTCCCCCTTCAAATACAAACTTTACACTAGCAGCTTTAACATTACTTTTTCCTTCCTCCAAAGATGAGAGCATAGAGACAGATGCTTGAACATGTCCCAGTCTCCACTGCAGGTCTAATTTAAAAAAAAAATTAAAAAAATTAAGTAGCTATGTTTCAGCCAAAAACAAGTGCATTCCAGCCTTGTACTTCCCATATAAATCTTCGGTGGTTATAGTTTGTATAGCTGCTTTCTATCTCCTAGGCATTCCCTACGAGAGTTCTTCGGAATGAGACTGAACTTCTGCCTTCTCCGCCATGGCCAGGATATCTGTGACAACCAGGACTTGCAAAAGACAATTGAGATCTTGAAGGAAGACTTTTCAAAGGGTTATTGATTCTATGAGGTCACATCTAAGGAGAAATTACGGTTTTGTCCCACTGTTCTACCTGAACGTATTTTGTGGCCTGCAAGGACTGGAAGTAGAAGAATTAGACTTCTTTGATTATCTCTGCATTTTGCAGCCAGAACAGAAAACACCAGTTTCTGATTTTTCTTCAGATAACTTACAGAATAGAACCGGAGTCCAGCAGCAGAGCTCTGCTTTGTGTGAGATTTGTATCCATCACAGTGATCCATCTCTCTGGAGGTAGTTAATTGCTGAAATCTCTACTTGCCACACTTCGGCTCACCAGCTAAGCAAACATTCCTTGTAGCAGATAAACAGGACCTCAACAGTCCCAAATCAGCAGTCAAAAGACTGCTGATTATTGAAAATCCCCATTGTAAAAAGAATGGAAGAGAAAGACCACTCCTCCTCCATCCTCACCCTCAGCATTCATGGGGGAGATTTCTGTGCAATGTAAGGTATTCCTGCCTGCTGGAGGTACGAGGTGGCTTGACTGGATTTGGTCCTTCTGCAAGAAACCTTCAGCCCTAAGGGTAGGTCCTTTCTGCAGTAAATTCTTGCCCACTCTGCTGGAGCCTCAGTAATTCCCTTGAGAAGGAAATCAAGAAACACAATAATTTTTAAGTAGAAGGAAAGGGATATATAAGAAAAGGGAATCTACAATTCACAAATTAATTTCCACTTAGAAACTTTTCAAGCCATTGTGTGGAGATATAGAAGCAGAGTTAACAAAGATAAACTACTGCTACACATTTACTTTCAGCTTTATATTAGGAAGTTTGGGTAGGTGACAGAAACTAGCCATACCAATATGGAGCTCTGCAGTCTAACGCAGGCAGTACTGAACCTCATGGTGCGCCAGCTCAGCTGCTGGCAAAATTGATTTCAAGTCAATCCCTGAACTTTCTCATCTGCTAGTTCTTTCTGGAGCTGCAGCACAGCAATAGCACTTACCACAGCACTATGCAATTAAGTGTGCAATTTACTGAAGAACTCGAGCCTTAATCAGTCCTGGAGAAGCATGGCTCTTGAGAACAAAAAAAGAAGAGGCTTTTCCTTCATTTATTTCACTAGTTTTTCCTAGGCATTGTCCTAGCAGCAAATAATCTCTTCTAACTTGAACTGTTCATGGATCATAATTTTAGTCCTTTCCTCTTGTTTTCTTTTTGTGCCTATAATTATGTTGTCATTTTAAAAAAAGGAAAAATTGGAAAAATATTAGCCCTAATATTACTCCATCTGAAAAAGCATTTAAGTGTAGAGAAGCACTCTTGTGTGCAGCTGGGACAAGTATTAGCCGTGATTATCATCTGCTCCAGGAAATGGTATATTGATATAAAAGGTAATATTTATCTAGATCCTCTAAGATCTGAACTGTGCTGTTTACTAAAGGTTATGGCATTTTATTTTATGCCTTCAGCTTTCCTGATTTTTTCCTACAGCTCTTCACATCTTTCACTGTGCTTTGATTAACACCGTAATTAAGTTTTTCCAGGTTACCTGCAATCAGTTGAGGTTATAAAAAAAGTGCCAACAACCCCACCATTCGTAGCCACTACCACTGTACCCCCTGCTAAGCGTGCCTAGCCCTGTAGCAGAGGTGGCAAACACAAACATGTTCCCCAGCCAAACCATTAAAATACATAAATAATCCCAACCTGCAGACCTGGAGCTGGACAGAATGGGGTTTTGGGGGAGCAAAGAGAGCAAGGAAACTGTATCTAATGTGTAAATGTCACTTTATATAGTAAATTCAGATGTAGCCTGGAGCTGCAGACCAGTGAAGAAAAAGAAAGGTGTAAATATGTGTTAGCAAACATGCATATATGGCCCTAAGTAGGGGAAGGGGGAAAGAAAAGAGGAAAACGAAAAGAAAAGAGGAAAGAAAGGAAAGGAAAGGAAAGGAAAGGAAAGGAAAGGAAAGGAAAGGAAAGGAAAGGAAAGGAAAGGAAAGGAAAGGAAAGGAAAGGAAAGGAAAGGAAAGGAAAGGAAAGGAAAGGAAAGGAAAGGAAAGGAAAGGAAAGGAAAGGAAAGGAAAGGAAAGGAAAGGAGAAAAGAGAAAGGAAAGGAAAGGAAAGGAAAGGAAAGGAAAGGAAAGGAAAGGAAAGGAAAGGAAAGGAAAGGAAAGGAAAGGAAAGGAAAGGAAAGGAAAGGAAAGGAAAGGGAAAAGAGAAAAGAAAAGAAAAGAAAAAGAAAAGAGAAAAGAAAAGAAAAAGAAAAGAAAAGAGAAAAGAAAAGAAAAGAAAAGAAAAGAAAAGAAAAGAAAAGAAAAGAAAAGAAAAGAAAAGAAAAGAAAAGAAAAGAAAAGAAAAGAAAAGAAAAGAAAAGAAAAGAAAAGAGAAAAGAGGAAAGAAAAGAAAAGAATTAAAGGAGGAAAAAAAAAAAAGAAGAAGAAAAAACCCAACAACCCATCAACACACACATCACCTTCCTCCCTGTGAAGGATTCCAGGTTCTGACAATTTGCTGTAATATCCCACTACCAAAAGCACCAGCATGCAACCACTGACCTTAGGACCCAGAGAAACAGTAGAGGAATGAGCTGTGTTACAGTTTTAATTCTATTATTGTTATTATTGTGACTTTTTCTATATATAAGCATCCTACCTGCATTATTGTTCAATTTCTCAGTAATAATTGGCTCATATAATAATGATTCTTGAGTTAGTCTGTTAAGATATCCATTATACCAACACTGATGGCTTTATATATATACACACACATATGGTGTGCTTCTTTTTTGCCCATAAACAAGACCTTGAATGTAAGAGTTTTCCAGCTCCTGCTTTGTAGTGCACTTTCTCCCTGGTGACCAAGCAAGAGTAGAAATTCATGCCTCTTCTACTACCAGCTAAAAGCTGCAAGAGACAAGTTCTCAGACCCTTTTATTGTGTCTCCCTTTCCACTTCCCAACTGAGGTATTCCCCTCGCTGCTTTTTGAGTGAGCCAAACCCCTAACCTATGACAAAGTCTGGTTTACTCTTCAGGTAAGCTATCAGAGCAGAACATGAGGATGTACAAACAGGTATTTGCCTTCCTTCAAAGCTGGAGCCATATAAGGTGATTTTTTACAGACTCAGAAGCACTGTATTTTATAAACAGTGTCTCTGTCTGTATAATATTACTACTCTCAGGATTACAGTTGTATATGCATGCCCCAAAAATGCATCTTCTCCATGTTCAAATGGGGATGTTACTCACTGACTTATTTAGAGATATGACTTGGCAAGTGCCATTGAGAGGCTGTTTGAGAATCCCTTCACTCCTCACCTTCCTCACAACTCTTTGTTTTCCTGGAGAAAATAATGACAATATGGCCTTGAGAGTAATTGTGGCAGCCCATATGCCAGCCTTTTCAGTTTCCTGTCTGTAACAGCATAGACTCTTCCTCATTCCTCCCACAAATACGTAATATGGTAGGATGTAACTCTCTTTATCCAAGTTCTTTTGTTCTGCAAGGACAGTCAGCAATGCCATAGGTTTTCCAGCATTTTCCAATATGTGAATCATTTAGGAATAACAAATGGGCTTAACAGGGTCTTGCATACAACTAAACTTCACTGATCTACCCCGTATGTACACTGCCTTTGGGTTTTTCCAAGCAGGAACGTGGAAGCAATGCTGAGGAAAATGAACTCCATTGAGCAGGAGACAGAGGAGTAGTGGGAGGGAAGAGAGAGCAGACTGTTCCTGAAATGGGTAGGCCTGGCGCCTTGGCCCATGTTTGCTCAGAGCTCGGCTTTGGTGTAAATTGTCACTCTGTGTCAGGGGAGTCAGGCTCCTCACTTGCTCTGTCATGTACCTGCGCAAGAGCTCAGGACTCTGTCAGTGGTCAGAGGCCTCCACCTGATGATGGCAGCTTCCCTGGGATACTACAAGCAAAAATGCAGTCTCTGCTGTTCCTTTTTTCAACAACATGGGAGGAGGAATAGGGAATAAAAAAAAATTAAGAGGTTAAATAGAGCTAAGAAAGAAAAAGCACAGAGCAAGCCCAAAAGAGCCTCTTGTGCCTACAAAACTCAGACCTGTGTTTAGAATAAAGTTCTTTCACACAATCCTAATCAAAGTCTCCTTCTTCTGAGAATAACAACCCTGTCGACAGAATTAAGTTGTTCCCCTCCACTCAGAGATGACAGCACGCAGCAGTCTTTCTCCATGCTAACTTCACAACCCTCATTTGCTCGCTCTTTGTAGTTCTCCAGGGAACAAATTGCAGTTCTACAGGAAACACCTCCCATGCACAGAAAATCTCTTCAAAAACCAGGACACTAACTTTTACTGTTATAAATAAACCAGCTTCCCAGCCCTTTACAGCTCTCTCTGGATTCAGCAACTTGTGGCTGATCTCCCACAGCTGATCTCACAGTCCTGAGCATCTGAGAGCTGAGGGAACCTCCTTTCAATGGCTGTTCATGCTTGGCTAAATACCCTTTCCACTAACAGCCATTAAATCTAGGTCTAGAGACAGGAGACCCGATGCTCAGTGTATTCACAGGTGTGTTTATTCAGAAGAGCTAGAAAAAAAAGTCAGAACAGAAAATAACCTCTTGCTCACCTTGCCACTGTAGTTGATGTATTCAAAGCAAAACAAGAACAACTCCCTCACACAGAAAAAAATGAAAAGCAAATGTTTGCCTCTGGAGGCCACTGATACATGACTCCTCACGAGTCTGTCTTTTATAACCAAAGACACCACCAATAATTGCTCTGCAGTTGCCTAGTGTTGAAG